CATTTCTTTGGACAAGTCAAGGTAGCCCCTCCCTGTTTCACTCAGTTTTCTTCAATTCGGTGACTAACACAACCCAGGTCTATTTCTGACTGGCCCCGTTCAGTGCAAGGTCACAGCACCTTAACTAAGTCAGTTGGACACTAATGGGAAGATAGTAAAATACAGATGATAACAATACATATATAATCTATAACAACAACAACACAATAAGAATCTAGCTATAACACAAAATCGAGAGATCTACATATCAATATATGAGGTCTATAAATCTATTGGGAGAGACAATATCTCCTGTGTCTTGTACCTACGTAATGTTGTGAAACAACTCCTTAACCGTTAAATGTTTTCTGCTCTGAAGCCGAAGTCAGAGGCAATGGGAAAAGGAGCTGTCCCAAAAGCTTCACTGTGCAATGTTTACAATTGCTTTTCACAAAAAGTCTGTAGACGTGTTTTCTGTTGGGGATTTTACTTCACGGCCAAAATGTGTTTTGTTCACAGACATCATTGTTCACATCTGACTCGTTTTTGTTTACGATCGTTTACAGTTTGTATTTGTTTACTGTCCTGTCCTCAAAGACCCAACCATATGTCTGACGCAGGCTTTCACAATCACTCCTTGATAAGAAGAGAACCTCTGAAATATTGACGAGCAAAACAAAGTACGGTACTAGGATAAACTCTCAGTAAACACCGCTTCGTACTCAGATGACAGATGTCAGTCAGGAGAACAATAAGACATGTACAACCAAACACCAAGCATCATGCGGTTGTCTGGGGTTCCGCCAAAGTTTACTTTAGCGTTGAAGTAATGATTTTGTTTAACTCTCTCCCTCTCTTTTCTCTGTCTTTCTCTCTCATTCAAAGACGGTCAGTGCTATTAGGGATCCTTGGGACGTCCCTAACCTTAACCCCTACCCTTACCCTAACCCTAACCCTAACCATAGCCAAAACCCTTACCTAACCCTAATCTTAACCCTTACCGTAACCATTTTAAATGTCAAGGATCCCGGAGAGCACGGACCATTCAAAGACACATACGACCGATCACCAAGCACCATGCTGTTTCATTGGATGTTAGGGTGTTGTGTTTCTTCAACTAACTCTCCCCCTCGCTTTCTCTTTCTGTCCCCCCCCCCCCCCCCCATCTCTTTCTCTCATTCATTATTCTCAGAGCAACTCTCTAGCCTTGCTAACTCTAGCAGGATAATTAGCCTCCATTGATCACAGGGGCCACCAGAAGCAGATTGATGAAAACCAGCTCTGACAACACTAATTCTGCCAGCTATCACCCAGAGAGTCCCAACTCCAGCACAGATGACACTCTCACAAACCTCCAACCGATGACTCCCAAGTCCTGATCCGCTATCGACAGGAGCTGCATATCAAATGGCACCCTATTCCCTATATAGTCCACTACTTTTGAAGGGCCCTGGTCAACAGCAGTGCACTATATAGGGAATAGGGTGCCATTTGGGACACAGACTCACTGTGGGCATTATTAGGCTTCCATTATGATTTTAATCTCTCCTTTTTTAATAAAAGCCTGTGGATAAACAAGGGTTGCAGAGCTGGTCGTCAATGCAAACACTTTGTTTTGGCGTGTATTAATGTTTAATTAGCTCTAATTGGCTTGTATAATTGGATATGGGGGACAAGATATTGGAGTGAAGATGGTTCAGGAGAGATAGTGGTGTCTCTGAGGCCTTTATGTGAAAGTAATGTCCTTCCTTGGGATGGATAGATGATAGATGAAGAAATGGTTTTACTATTTCTAATTCTTATGATCTAATGGCAACTTGGTAATCAAACCATCAGTATCGTCACCAGTCTTGCAAAGTGGCACCATACCCCGCTATATCACCATTGATATAATAACTAGGGACAGGAGTTTTCCCTGAGGTTCACCAGGTTACTTGGTCAGGAAGAAATCCTGGCCCTACATATTACTGTAAAAAACTCAGAACTGCTACCAGTCTATATGAGCACTTTCAGATGGAGGGAGAGAGTTCTGGACAAGCCTTGCTGAACAACACACTGTGTGTCTGGAATACACACTCAGCTCACACTGCAGAGAGAGTGCTGCTTAGTGAGTCTTTCTCCTCCACCCTCTCTCTCCATTTCCTCCTGGAAGAGTGTGAAGTGGACAAGGAAGGACTCTCTCTCTCTCTCTCTCTCTCTCTCTCTCTCTCTCTCTCTCTCTCATCCTTTATTCTCTTGTCTCTGTCTGTCTGTCTGTCTGTCCGTCTTTCCCTATCTCTTCCACTTCTCTCGCTCTCATTCCCTCTCTCTGTTTTCCTCTATAATCAAAATCGTTGGATTCCCCCAGTGAGTGAGAGTGATAGAGGAAGTAGGATCTGGGCCTCCAGCGCTGCGCTCTAAAAATTTGGGGTCGAACAAGGGTTCTTCTAAGATCATAAAAGCTCAGAAAAATGCCCCCAAAAGATTATTCCAAGAACCCCAAAGGAGGTGGGGTTCATCGAGGAACCTCCTTAGTTGGTGGGGTTTCTTGCAGGAACCTAACTGCCCAACTGAAACATTTGGATTTGAATTTGAGATGACAGCAGGTGCAGGCACTTAACTGAAATATTGAAAGATCTCCTCAATCTAAAGTAAGGTTTCTCCCTTGTATGATCTAAATTGATATTGTTTTATGATGATACCATCTATATTTTCATATTTGTACCAATGGCAGTGTTGTTTGACACTTTCTCCCTTTTAAAATTATTTATAAAACAGAAAATGGACACAATTCAATGGATATCAATCCACAAAGAGGTAAGAATATGTTAAAGGCTATAGCTACATTGGGTGCAGATGACTGAACTGATCACTTTTGTGTGTGTCTGTGTCTGCAGATATATATATACTGACCAGGAGGCACACAAAGGTATGTACAATTGGTATTGGTATGTTGTGCAGATCACATGTATTATCTACAGTTAATTTTGGTTTCTCTAAAACCTTATAGGTCTCAGTCACAGCAGCCTCCCTTACCTATTCAATGAAACCCCAGAGGCCTCTACATTATGGACAATGTATTTGTATAAAAACCATTATCAAAAGTGAACCATTTTTTTTTTCATTCACATTTACCACAAAAACCAAGGTACGAATACTGACATGTGCATGTTTTAAAAAAAATAATCTGTATAATTACAATTTTTGGGATTCACACACTTCACCCTCCCTACATCTCTGATGAATATAACAGTAAACCTGTTCGATCACCATGCACTGCAAAATCATTCTGGCTATAGATACGGAGAACATCAACACATTAACATCAACATGCCAGAGGATATACCCATTGGACTTGGGACTCTGCTGGGAGTTTACCTCATATTTAGATGTTTTTATTCTGCTTTGCCACTAAAATCATAATAAACACTGACACCTAAAATATTGTGTTATTGTTGTTATTGTTATGCATATTATTATTAATAATAGGGGAGGGGGGAGTTCAAACTTGTGCCCAAAAAGGTTATTCAAAAGGTTCTTCGAGGATCCATTAAAAGGGGTTCTTTGAAGAACCATTTTAAAGGGTTCTTCGAATAACTTATAGAGGTTCCCCCACAGTTTCAATTTGAAGAACCCCTAAAGGATACTCCAGGAACCTTTTCTTTTTAGAGTGTGGCTAGAATCACCCATTTGGCAGCAGAGTGGGTCTACGTGTACGTCCCAAATGGCACCCTATTCCGTTTATAGTGCACTACTTTTGAGCCCTGGCCAAAAGTAGTGCACTATTTAGGAAATAGCCCACTGGGCACAGACGTCAAATCAACGTCTATTCCACGTTGTAATTTCAATGGAATGACGTGTGCCCAGTGGGAGGGTGACATTTGGCAGCAGTGCGGATCTCAGCAGAAGCTGGATTTGCCTGGAGACGCAGGCCCAGATCCAGCATTGAGATGGCAGACATATACTACTGAGACTGTTGCTCTCACCCAACTCCACACACAGTCATCCACACTCTACTGCAGCCAGCCATAGTCTGCAAAGGAACACAATTGGATGACTGCTTTTTTTTCTAAAGGTATGAATTGAATTACTTATTGTCTAGATGCAGCTTTCTTCAGAGTTGGTCACACAGTATCATTTGAAGATATTTGTGGTTTGGGTTAGATTTGAAAGTTTTATATGCTGTGATATCTGCAGAAATAACTGTGGTGTGATTGTCAACGTAGAATTACGGTCAGAGATTAGAATGTAAATATAAGGTTGCAGTAAAAGATTCTGCCACTCAGGTTATGTCTTAATGATCTCTCCTTCCTCCCAAAGTGTGCACTTGCTCACTTCCCTTCACTGATTTGAATGGAAATTGGGGTGGAAAAGCCCTCGGGCCCATGCCTCCACCAATCCAGTGCTTTGTGGGAAGATATGTGGGAAGTAGTGAACAAGTGTACAGTTCAGGAGAAAGGAGATATTATAGGGATCACCCTCAGAGTCGTATGATTTCACATTATGTTCTGTGCTCTTCATATTCCAGGCCTAGAGCCAGTAAGCAGTGAGCAGTGGTTGTTTCATTTTCCAAACTTCCAAATGCCTTTCACTGCTCGGATTAGGCCCTCCTCTATTGGGAAATCCCATGGTAACGGCACTGGCAAAAGCTGACTGACCCTCAAACACAAACACACACATATTCAAAGATACGTATCCGCACACTCTGGGAAACACACATATACCCACACTCTGCGATAGACACTGTGACACCACCACACACTCATTCGCACTGCGACACACACACACACAAACACTGCGTACCCCCCCAAACACATACACATTGAGACACACACACACACTCCATCCCCACCCACACTGCAACACACAATGCACGACACCCTACCGGAATCAGGCGATTGACTTCTCCCTCATGGCCCTGGGGCCTCACCGGGCAGAATAATAATACCATCAGACAACAGGTCGAACTTTATTATTCGCCACTCAATAGCAGCCAAAGGAAGGGACACCAACAGCTGCAGAGAAAAAAAAGAAAAGGTGAGGAAGAAAGAGAGAGGGGGTAGACATTTTTTAAACTTTTTTTTCCAGCAGCATTGACATTGTGACAGTTCCCTTGGGTGGGGCAGCGGATGAAAGCTTTTCATAGAGGGGATAGCTGGATCCTTTCTCCATTGGATGGTTTTACTAATTTTGCCTCGTGCTACAGGTGTAAAGGTATAAGGAAGGGACCCTGATCACCTGACGAGGGACATTACGACTTCAGACACAGGTATGCCGCAGATTTTCCTATATCCTCTTCCCCCTCCTCACAGAGCTCTAAGTTAACCCCAGGAAGAGTAGCTGCTGCTTCAGCTAATCGGGATCCTAATAAAATACTAAAATGACTAGTTAAGATAAAGGTTGAATGCTGTCAGATACAGAATGTCTAGTAAAGTATATAATGTAAAGTATATACTGTATACCAGGATGAGTACTATACACTCTTAGAAAAAATGGTTCCTAAAGGGTTTTCTTCGGCTGTGCCCATAGTAGAACCCTTTTTGGTTCTAGGTAAAACTCTTTTTGGTTCCAGGTAGAACCATTTTGGGTTCCATGTAGAACCCTCTGTAGAAACATGGAACCCAAAACATTTCTAGTTGGAACCAAAAAGGGTTTTACCTGGAACCAAAAAGGGGTCTTCAAAGGGTTATCCTATGGGGACAGCCGAAGAACCCTTTTAGGTTATAGAGAGCACCTTTTTTTCTAAGAGTGTAGAATAAGATAAAACAATGAATACTGTACAAGAAACTATATCAAAACTTCACTTTTGATACCCCAAAGTTGTCTCTGGCTATAAGAAAAATACAATTTATGCTCATATAGAGTTTTCAGGCAGTATCGGAAGGTCACTTTGGTAATGTGGCACTGAAATGACAAATGACGAGAGCATCTTGTTTTGCTTTTCAAACCAATGAGATCATACGGTCCAAACAAATGCCATTTTCATAATTTCTCCTCTCTTTAATCTGTTTCTTTTACAATGTGGAGAACCATTCTTTTCTCTTCTGTGATTTTGTTTGGTGTATCCAATTCATACAAAAGACTAGTTTAATCGCAGATGAATAATTGTGCCATTGTGCCAATAGCAGCCGTACTTCTGTTCTAAATTATTAGTAGCAAGGTGACACAAAATATGTATCTTTGAAATGGTAATTGGAAAAAAACATTTTGTCAACAGGACAAATTGCCCATGAGCTAAAAACTCCCAGATAGGCCTAAATTGGCCATGCGCTAAAAAGCAAAGAGTTTTACATTTGAATAGAGAATAGAAAGTAAAGTATGAAGAAGGGCATAAAGATGATAAAGCAAAGAAAAATATAACAAACAAATACTTTAGGCCATTTTCCAAGGATCTTGCCATGAAAATAAATATGCACATTTACCAAACCAAAGAACATTTCCAAGAAGTACCGTAGGACAAAAGTTTGCAATTTAATACATTTACATTTGAGCCAGACAAACATAACTATTAGCCTATTGAAGTTTAAATGAAGCTCTCATATGTCCACCACAATCATCAGTACATTTGTATAGAGGCATTGTGAGAGGTTGCTCATGATGATGACTTTATTGAATCCATTAGGATAAATCTAGGATCAGATAGGCCTAAATTGCCCATGCGCTAAAAAGCATACAGTTTTACATTTGAATAGAGAAAGAAAGTAAAGTATAAATAAGATGAAAAATCAAGGACATTTTTTTAAAAACACTTTAGGCCATTTTCAAAGGATATTGCCATGAAAATATGCACATTTACCAAACCAAAGTGGATTTCCAAGAAGTACCGTAGAACATTTGAGCCAGACAAACATATCTTATAGCCTACTGAAGTTTAAAGACATGCTCTGGAACTTTGGGGACTACTTAGTATTTTTTAAACCTCCCGCTTTGGGCTGGATGTGTCAATGTGGAGTTCATACATGCATAATCTATGAGCAGAATTACTGTTTTACAAAATCCCTAGTTTGAAAACGACTGTTTTTCTGGAAGCTGTGCCGCGGCATTTTCCCTACATATTCCCCACGTGTGCCAGCCTCCTAGCAATTCGAGTTCTAGCCAATGAGCTTCAACCCCTCGCCATTTGAGTGACAGCTAGCAAGATGCACACACAGCAGAGTGAGCGAGAGAGAGCAATCATGTGGTGCGCATATCTGCACATATGTGATGTAGTAAGCAATTGAATCCATTAAGAAAATATATTTTTTCATCTTTGTAGACAGACTTACAGTATGTCACAAACATTACATACAGTGGGGGAAAAAAGTATTTAGTCAGCCACCAATTGTGCAAGTTCTCCCACTTAAAAAGATGAGAGAGGCCTGTAATTTTCATCATAGGTACACGTCAACTATGACAGACAAATTGAGAAAAAAAATCCAGAAAATCACATTGTAGGATTTTTAATGAATTTATTTGCAAATTATGGTGGAAAATAAGTATTTGGTCACCTACAAACAAGCAAGATTTCTGGCTCTCACAGACCTGTAACTTCTTCTTTAAGAGGCTCCTCTGTCCTCCACTCGTTACCTGTATTAATGGCACGTGTTTGAACTTGTTATCAGTATAAAAGACACCTGTCCACAACCTCAAACAGTCACACTCCAAACTCCACTATGGCCAAGACCAAAGAGCTGTCAAAGGACACCAGAAACAAAATTGTAGACCTGCACCAGGCTGGGAAGACTGAATCTGCAATAGGTAAGCAGCTTGGTTTGAAGAAATCAACTGTGGGAGCAATTATTAGGAAATGGAAGACATACAAGACCACTGATAATCTCCCTCAATCTGGGGCTCCACGCAAGATCTCACCCCGTGGGGTCAAAATGATCACAAGAACGGTGAGCACAAATCCCAGAACCACACGGGGGGACCTAGTGAATGACCTGCAGAGAGCTGGGACCAAAGTAACAAAGCCTACCATCAGTAACACACTACGCCGCCAGGGACTCAAATCCTGCAGTGCCAGACGTGTCCCCCTGCTTAAGCCAGTACATGTCCAGGCCCGCCTGAAGTTTGCTAGAGTGCATTTGGATGATCCAGAAGAGGATTGGGAGAATGTCATATGGTCAGATAAAACCAAAATAGAACTTTTTGGTAAAAACTCAACTTGTCGTGTTTGGAGGACAAAGAATGCTGAGTTGCATCCAAAGAACACCATACCTACTGTGAAGCATGGGGGTGGAAACATCATGCTTTGGGGCTGTTTTTCTGCAAAGGGACCAGGACGACTGATCCGTGTAAAGGAAAGAATGAATGAGGCCATGTATCGTGAGATTTTGAGTGAAAACCTCCTTCCATCAGCAAGGGCATTGAAGATGAAACGTGGCTGGGCCTTTCAGCATGACAATGATCCCAAACACACCGCCCGGGCAACGAAGGAGTGGCTTCGTAAGAAGCATTTCAAGGTCCTGGAGTGGCCTAGCCAGTCTCCAGATCTCAACCCCATAGAAAATATTTGGAGGGAGTTGAAAGTCTGTGTTGCCCAGCGACAGCCCCAAAACATCACTGTTCTAGAGGAGATCTGCATGGAGGAATGGGCCAAAATACCAGCAACAGTGTGTGAAAACCTTGTGAAGACTTACAGAAAACGTTTGACCTGTGTCATTGCCAACAAAGGGTATATAACAAAGTATTGAGAAACTTTTGTTATTGACCAAATACTTATTTTCCACCATAATTTGCAAATAAATTCATTAAAAATCCTACAATGTGATTTTCTGGAGAGAAAGAAATCTCATTTTGTCTGTCATAGTTGACGTGTACCTATGATGAAAATTACAGGCCTCTCTCATCTTTTTAAGTGGGAGAACTTGCACAATTGGTGGCTGACTAAATACTTTTTTTCCCCACTGTACATAGTGCATTACACATACAGACATACAGTACGTTACAAGCATTAAATACACATAGACATACGAAGAGGCACTAATGGCCAAACTCAATATCTTTGAATTGATTATGCCCTCATACGAAAACACATTATTGTATGTCGTCATTGAGGGTTCAGAGTTAGCATGAATGCACTACAACTCACAGTTATCTATCTATCTATCTATCTATCTATCTATCTATCTATCTATCTATCTATCTATCTATCTATCTATCTATCTATCTATCTATCTATCTATCTATCTATCTATCTATCTATCTATCTATCTATCTATCTATCTATCTATCTATCTATCTATCTATCTATCTATCTATCTATCTATCTATCTATCTATCTATCTATCTATCTATCTATCTATCTATCTATCTATCTATCTATCTATCTATCTATCTATAGGCTAGCTAACTACTTATCTGTTTCTGTGTCATACCATAAATTCTCCAGTCAATGAGATTAAACTCTGTTGCTTCACAGCTCCACTTCATGTCCAGTGTCTCCATCTCCCTGCGAAGTACACTGGCAAAGGACCAAAAGTACCAAAAGAACCAAACGCACTAACTGAGGCTCAATTTGACCATACATCATTTGACCATACGTGGTGGACCGTACGTAGTGGACCGTATCAGATTGTGAGGACCGGCGGTTCGACTTGAGTGAACCGTGGTCCAGTGAACCGTGGTCCCACCCTATGGGGAAGACTGGTAAGAGCACTGTGGACCTCAACTCCCCAACAGAGGTCAAACAGGCAGTCCCATTCGAGGTCATGGAGACAGTGGCGCCCACAGATGCCGAGGAGAAGGAGGAAGTACTCCCTGACAGGGGCTCCTGGAAGGGCAAGTTTGACTTCCTGTTGTCGTGCGTGGGCTACGCCATCGGCCTGGGGAATGTCTGGCGGTTCCCTTATCTGTGCGGCAAGAATGGAGGAGGTAAAATAAACTGTGAGGGGAGGTAGGCCATTTTGGCGTCTGGGAAAAATCATTGTCACAGGCTTTGAAATAGTGAGATTTCATGGGGTGCCTGAAGAGGCAGGAGGAAAACTACACATTTCAAAATATCATCAGTATAAAGCACAACATATTACAATTTATGGGAGAGCACTGTTTGATGAACTAACACATTGTGCCCCAAATTTTTTTTTAAGAAACATGCTATTTAATATTTGATTTAATGTGAATTATGGGGCCCTGGATTTTTCTAAAGAGTCCCAGTGGTTGAGAACCCCTGATATTATAATAAGGGCTCATTAATTCATGTGGACTTGATGAACTAACCAGTTCAGTTGAATGCCAAAACTGCACCAAGATGGCTGCCTAGCTTCACATTTTCCAACATAAGGAGTTAGCAGCTCTGTCCATTGCTTTTATGTGGGTTGTGTGTCAAATGCTGTATGGCACTGACCTGGTTTTGCAGGCCTGGTCCCAAGCTCTGCTCTGCTGTTAAGGTCACAGGCCTTACTGAAGCTTTGCTTGTTGAATTCAATATAGTATTAGATATAATGTTCCATAGACAGTTTTTACATTACTGTACAGTGAGGGAAAAAAGTATTTGATCACCTGCTGATTTTGTACGTTTGCCCACTGACAAAGAAATGATCAGTCTATAATTTTAATGGTAGGTTTATTTGAACAGTGAGAGACAGAATAACAACAAAAAAATCCAGAAAAACACATGTCAAAAATGTTATAAATTGACTTGCATTTTAATGAGGGAAATAAGTATTTGACACCTCTGCAAAACATGACTTAGTACTTGGTGGCAAAACCCTTGTTGGCAATCACAGAGGTCAGACGTTTCTTGTAGTTGGCCATGAGGTTTGCACACATCTCAGGAGGGATTTTGTCCCACTCCTCTTTGCAGATCTTCTCCAAGTCATTAAGGTTTCGTGGCTGACGTTTGGCAACTCAAACCTTCACAACTCCAGGACCTTAATGTGCTTCTTCTTGAGCCACTCCTTTGTTGCCTTGGCCATGTGTTTTGGGTCATTGTCATGCTGGAATACCCATCCACAACCCATTTTCAATGCCCTGGCTAAGGGAAGGAGGTTCTCACCCAAGATTTGATGGTACATGGCCCCGTCCATCATCCCTTTGATGCGGTGAAGTTGTCCTGTCCCCTTAGCAGAAAAACACCCCCAAAGCATAATGTTTCCACCTCCATGTTTGACGGTGGGGATGGTGTTCTTGGGGTCATAGGCAGCATTCCTCCTCCTCCAAACACGGCGAGTTGAGTTGATGCCATAGAGCTCAATTTTGGTCTCATCTGACCACAACACTTTCACCCACTTCTCCTCTGAATCATTCAGATGTTCATTGGCAAACTTCAGACGGGCATGTACAGTGGGGAAAAAAAGTATTTAGTCAGCCCCCAATTGTGCAAGTTCTCCCACTTAAAAAGATGAGAGAGGCCTGTAATTTTCATCATAGGTACATGTCAACTATGACAGACAAAATGAGAAAAAAAAATCCAGAAAATCACATTGTAGGATTTTTTATGAATTTATTTGCAAATTATGGTGGAAAATAAGTATTTGGTCAATAACAAAAGTTTCTCAATACTTTGTTATATACCCCTTGTTGGCAATGACACAGGTCAAACGTTTTCTGTAAGTCTTCACAAGGTTTTCACACACTGTTGCTGGTATTTTGGCCCATTCCTCCATGCAGATCTCCTCTAGAGCAATGATGTTTTGGGGCTGTCGCTGGGCAACACGGACTTTCAACTCCCTCCAAAGATTTTCTATGGGGTTGAGATCTGGAGACTGGCTAGGCCACTCCAGGACCTTGAAATGCTTCTTACGAAGCCACTCCTTCGTTGCCCGGGAGGTGTGTTTGGGATCATTGTCATGCTAAAAGACCCAGCCACGTTTCATCTTCAATGCCCTTGCTGATGGAAGGAGGTTTTCACTCAAAATCTCACGATACATGGCCCCATTCATTCTTTCCTTTACACGGATCAGTCGTCCTGGTCCCTTTGCAGAAAAACAGCCCCAAAACATGAAGTTTCCACCCCCATGCTTCACAGTAGGTATGGTGTTCTTTGGATGCAACTCAGCATTCTTTGTCCTCCAAACACGATGAGTTGAGTTTTTACCAAAAAGTTGTATTTTGGTTTCATCTGACCATATGACATTCTCCCAATCCTCTTCTGGATCATCCAAATGCACTCTAGCAAACTTCAGACGGGCCTGGACATGTACAGGCTTAAGCAGGGGGACACGTCTGGCAATGCAGGATTTGAGTCCCTGGCGGAGTAGTGTGTTACTGATGGTAGGCTTTGTTACTTTGGTCCCAGCTCTCTGCAGGTCATTCACTAGGTTCCCCCGTGTGGTTCTGGGATTTTTGCTCACCTTTCTTGTGATCATTTTGACCCCACGGGGTGAGATCTTGTGTGGAGCCCCAGATCAAGGGAGATTATCAGTGGTCTTGTAGGTCTTCCATTTCCTAATAATTGCTCCCACAGTTGATTTCTTCAAACCAAGCTGCTTACCTATTGCAGATTCAGTCTTCCCAGCCTGGTGCAGGTCTACAATTTTGTTTCTGGTGTCCTTTGACAGCTCTTTGGTCTTGACCATAGTGGAGTTTGGAGTGTGACTGTTTGAGGTTGTGGACAGGTGTCTTTTATACTGATAACAAGTTCAAACAGTTGCCATTAATACAGGTAACGAGTGGAGGACAGAGGAGCCTCTTAAAGAAGAAGTTACAGGTCTGTGAGAGCCAGAAATCTTGCTTGTTTGTAGGTGACCAAATACTTATTTTCCACCATAATTTGCAAATAAATTCATTAAAAATCCTACAATGTGATTTTCTGGATTTTTTCTCTCTCAATTTGTCTGTCATAGTAGACGTGTACCTATGATGAAAATGACAGGCCTCTCTCATCTTTTTAAGTGGGAGAACTTGCACAATTGGTGGCTGACTAAATACTTTTTTCCCCCACTGTATATGTGCTTTCTTGAGCAGGGAGAACTTGCAGGCGCTGCAGGATTTCAGTCCTACACGGCGTAGTGTGTTACCAATTGTTTTCTTGGTGCCTATGGTCCCAGCTGCCTTGAGATCATTGACAAGATCCTCCCGTGTAGTTCTGGGCTGATTCCTCACCGTTCTCATGATCATTGCAACTCCACGAGGTGAGATCGTGCATGGAGCCCCAGGCCGAGGGAGATTGACAGTTATTTTGTGTTTCTTCCATTTGCGAATAATCGCACCAACTGTTGTCACCTTCTCACCAAGCTGCTTGGCGGTGGTCTTGTAGCCCATTTCAGCCTTATGTAGGGCTGGAATGGGTCTTTTATACAGGTAACAAACTGAGATTAGGAGCACTCCCTTTAAGAGTGTGCTCCTAATCTCAGCTCCTTACCTGTATAAAAGACACCTGGGAGCCAGAAATCTTTCTGATTGAGAGGGGGTCAAATACTTATTTCCCTCATTAAAATGCAAATCAATTTCTAACATTTTTGACATGCATTTTTCTGGATTTTGTTGATGTTATTCTGTCTCTCACTGTTCAAATAAACCTACCATTAAAATGATAGACTGATCATTTCTTTGTCAGTGGGCAAACGTACAAAATCAGCAGGGGATCAAATACTTTTTTCCCTCACTGTATATGGAACTTGTAGGATGTGTAACATGACATGGAAAATGAACAGACATTGTAAAAAAGGAAGCTTTCAATGAATACATTTGGCTATCCATCTTATTTAGTTTTATGCAACCTGAGTGAGAGAAAATCTAAACATGTCATTAAAACAACTGCATGGAATATACCATGATGATTATTTAATGACCAACCTTGATTTATTATTGATTAGCATATTGTTAATAATGAAATTGCCATTAGCAAACATCTATATTTCATCACAATGTACACTGTGCTAGTATGCTGCATCATATTTATGGACTATTGAGGTCACTCTCTGTGTTAGTGAGCGAATAATTACAAATATATATCATCAACAGTGTTAGTGTTCACAGAAACGTTTTTTAAAATTAAAATGTTACAATGTTTTTCGAGGTAAAATATCCTTAAAGTGTAACGAATAACACCTTTCTAAATTAAGTTAAATTCGTTTTTGAATTCAGCACCTTTCCAGTATTGTAAAATCTAATAAATCACTGAGTTTATATTTTCTATTTCTAATGTCAATAACTTTGTGAAGTGAGCAAAGATTAGAAGCAAACACTTTAGATACTATACTCCTGACCGGTATTCAATCAGACGCAGATTGATTTTATTGATGTATTCTTTTTGCATTTTACACTTGAGAGGGACTGATGTAATGCAGTGTTTCCCAAACTCAGTCCTCGGGACCCCAAGGGGTGCATGTTTTGGTTTTCGCCCTAAAAGCTGGTTAAATTAATCACTAATCATCAAGCTTTAATTATTTAAATCAGCTGTGTAGTGCTAGGGCAAAAACCAAAACATGCACCCCTAGGGGTCCCGAGGACCGAGTTTGAGAAACTGATTTAATATGTTGATAATGTGTTGTATTGCACAGTCCCCTTCTTTTCATGCATAGTTCATTCTATTGATTCTATTGGTTTCTGTAGTCGTCATACATTTAACTAGTTCCCCCATCCATCAGGGCTCAGGGCCATATGCATATGTTACTGTCTGTGTCCTACATCCAACTTCTCCTTTGGAGATCAATTAAGTGTTTTGAATTCAATTCAATATGGATATCCATATAGCCCTTGCAGGAGTGTGCTTGTTTTGCACAGCAGTGTGTCCCTGTGCAGGGAGTTGACACTTGATATAGAAATTGTGAGTTTGGTTGTGTGCACTGGATGATTTGTCAGCCAAGTTCACCTTCAAAACTGAACGGGTCATGTCATCCCACTGGGCACACACTGATTGAATCAGCGTTGTTTCCACATCATTTCAATGAAATAATGTTGAGCCAACGTGGAATAGACGCTGAATTGACGTCTGTCCTCAGTGGGATTGGACTGCTAGTTTGTTAATCACATGTGATGAAGCTGCTGTACAAATCACACACTTCTGAAATCACCTATCCATAAATCCACTATATAAAACGGATTGAATACTGGCCATTTAATGTCTTAACCACATCCGAGTCTCAATCCTCCAACCTTCTCTCAAAGTGTGCACTTGCACACGCCCCATGGTAAAAACCACAGGAGGCTGCTGAGGGGAGGATGGCTAATATAAACGTCCGGAACGGAGCAAATGGAATGGTATCAAACACATGGAAACCATGTGTTTGATGTATTTGATACCATTCCACTGATTCCGCTCCAGTCATTACCACAAGCCCTTCCTCCCCAATTAAGGTGCCACCAACCTCCTGTGGTATAAACTGTCTCCAGCACAGGAGGTTGGTGGCGCCTTAATTGGGGAGGACGGGCTCGTGGTAATAGCTGGAGCAGAACAGATTCAAATGCATCAAACACATGGTTTCCATTCGCTCCTTCCTGGCCATTATTATGAGCCGTCCTCCCCTCAGCAGCCTCCTGTGGCTCCAGACAGTGCTTCCACCAATCCTTTAATGCTTTTAAAATCCATGATAGTGATTGCACACTTTGAGAGAAGGATGGAGAATGGGGATGCAGACTGTAAGTAAAAGTGTAAATACAGATGAAAGAGGATATCTTTGGTGTAAATGTGAAACACACTTCCTGTTGTGTCACACTGTGCCCTGGTCATGTGACAGGGGCTTTCCTGATCCCATACTTCCTCACCCTGGTGTTTGCTGGCATACCTCTGTTCCTGTTGGAGACGTCACTGGGCCAATTCACCTCGGTGGGGGGGCTGGGGGTGTGGACCAAACTAATGCCTATGATGAAAGGTGAGATATGTTGAAAATCCCCCCACATATTGACAGATAGTCTAGGTAGGTGATTGATTGTGGTTGGTTGTTAGATTACATTAATTAGACAATTAAAGAATGCATATACATACAAATGCAACACATTCAAAATCATTGTAGTTCATTAAAACATCTTAGAGAATAGATATACACATATCCCAAAGACAAATAATAGTTAGCTATAGCAGTTCATAGGTAGTTAACTATTTGTTTGCTAATACTGACCTCTTTCTCTCTCTCCCCTATAGGGGTTGGTCTGGCCTCAGTGGTGCTCTCCTTCTGGCTCAACATCTACTACATTATCATCATCGCCTGGGCCCTCTACTATCTCTTCAACTCCTTCAGAGCGGTAGGTGACATCACCACACTAATCACACAACATTATCATCATCGCCTGGGCCCTCTACTACCTCTTCAACTCCTTCAGAGCGGTAGGTGACATCACCACACTAATCACACAACATTATCATCATCGCCTGGGCCCTCTACTATCTCTTCAACTCCTTCAGAGCTATAGGTGACATCACCACACTAATCACACAACATTATCATCATCGCCTGGGCCCTCTACTACCTCTTCAACTCCTTCAGAGCGGTAGGTGACATCACCACACTAATCACACAACATTATCATCATCGCCTGGGCCCTCTACTACCTCTTCAACTCCTTCAGAGCGGTAGGTGACATCACCACACTAATCACACAACATTATCATCATCGCCTGGGCCCTCTACTACCTCTTCAACTCCTTCAGAGCGGTAGGTGACATCACCACACTAATCACACAACATTATCATCATCGCCTGGGCCCTCTACTACCTCTTCAACTCCTTCAGAGCGGTAGGTGACATCACCACACTAATCACACAACATTATCATCATCGCCTGGGCCCTCTACTACCTCTTCAACTCCTTCAGAGCGGTAGGTGACATCACCACACTAATCACACAACATTATCATCATCGCCTGGGCCCTCTACTACCTCTTCAACTCCTTCAGAGCGGTAGGTGACATCACCACACTAATCACACAACATTATCATCATCGCCTGGGCCCTCTGCTACCTCTTCAACTCCTTCAGAGCAGTAGGTGACATCACCACACTAATCACACTACATTATCATCATCGTCTGGGCCCTCTGCTATCTCTTCAACTCCTTCCGAGCGGTAGGTGACATCACCACACTAGAAAGCAGTAGCCCAGTCAAATCAAATCAACATTTATTGGTCACGTGCACACGGTACAGTGAAATTCTCCTCAACAATAGAGTAAAATATCTGTCACAAATCTGTTTGTGCTGTCTTGCCAACTTCCACGGTCATTGACTCCTATGGTCATAGCCTGGTTCCAGATCTATTTGTGCTCTGTTGCTGACTCAGCAGAAAGCACAAACAAATCTGGAACCAGGCTATGGAATAAGCAGGAGTATATTATTTGCTGTGACTTCATAGCTTAACTATGTGACCTGACCAGAAATAAGTGTGGGTTGAATACGTTATAGGCTATAACTAACAAATGCTCTAAGAAATACGCAGGCCTTAGTCAGACTACTCAGTTTCTGAGTAGTTCACTTACAGTGGGGGAAAAAAGTATTTAGTCAGCCACCAATTGTGCAAGTTCTCCAACTTAAAAAGATGAGAGAGGCCTGTAATTTTTATCATAGGTACACGTCAACTATGACAGACAAAATGAGAAAAAAAATCCAGAAAATCACATTGTAGGATTTTTTATGAATTTATTTGCAAATTATGGTGGAAAATAAGTATTTGGTCAATAACAAAAGTTTCTCAATACTTTGTTATATACCCTTTGTTGGCAATGACACAGGTCAAACGTTTTCTGTAAGTCTTCACAAGGTTTTCACACACTGTTGCTGGTATTTTGGCCCATTCCTCCATGCAGATCTCCTCTAGAGCAGTGACGTTTTGGGGCTGTCGCTGGGCAACACGGACTTTCAACTCCCTCCAAAGATTTTCTATGGGGTTGAGATCTGGAGACTGGCTAGGCCACTCCAGGACCTTGAAATGCTTCTTACGAAGCCACTCCTTCGTTGCCCGGGCGGTGTGTTTGGGATCATTGTCATGCTGAAAGACCCAGCCACGTTTCATCTTCAATGCCCTTGCTGATGGAAGGAGGTTTTCACTCAAAATCTCACGATACATGGCCCCATTCATTCTTTCCTTTACACGGATCAGTCGTCCTTGTCCTTTGCAGAAAAACAGCCCCAAAGCATGATGTTTCCACCCCCATGCTTCACAGTAGGTATGGTGTTCTTTGGATGCAACTCAGCATTCTTTGTCCTCCAAACACGACGAGTTGAGTTTTTACCAAAAAGTTCTATTTTGGTTTCATCTGACCATATGACATTCTCCCAATCCTCTTCTGGATCATCCAAATGCATTCTAGCAAACTTCAGACGGGCCTGGACATGTACTGGCTTAAGCAGGGGGACACTTCTGGCACTGCAGGATTTGAGTCCCTGGCGGCGTAGTGTGTTACTGATGGTAGGCTTTGTTACTTTGGTCCCAGCTCTCTGCAGGTCATTCACTAGGTCCCCCCATGTGGTTCTGGGATTTTTGCTCACCGTTCTTGTGATCATTTTGACCCCACGGGGTGAGATCTTGCGTGGAGCCCCAGATCGAGGGAGATTATCAGTGGTCTTGTATGTCATCCATTTCCTAATAATTGCTCCCACAGTTGATTTCTTCAAACCAAGCTGCTTACCTATTGCAGATTCAGTCTTCCCAGCCTGGTGCAGGTCTACAATTTTGTTTCTGGTGTCCTTTGACAGCTCTTTGGTCTTGGCCATAGTGGAGTTTGGAGTGTGACTGTTTGAGGTTGTGGACAGGTGTCTTTTATACTGATAACAAGTTCAAACAGGTGCCATTAATACAGGTAACGAGTGGAGGACAGAGGAGCCTCTTAAAGAAGAAGTTAGAGGTCTGTGAGAGCCAGAAATCTTGCTTGTTTGTAGGTGACCAAATACTTATTTTCCACCATAATTTGCAAATAAATTCATTAAAAATCCTACAATGTGATTTTCTGGATTTGTTTTCCTCAATTAGTCTGTCATAGTTGACGTGTACCTATGATGAAAATTACAGGCCTCTCTCATCTTCTTAAGTGGGAGAACTTGCACAATTGGTGGCTGACTAAATACTTGTTTTCCCCACTGTAATAGTGTTCTGACTCCTGTGGTTCACTGTGGCTGTTCATTTTGTTCCACACAAAGGCCTGAGACAGAGTTATTATATCTGTACAGACGCTCTCCATCACCAGTCTCCTCACACCAGACAGGAGCACAAAGAGATGGGTCAGGAGTGTGAGGGGAGAGAGAGAGAGACAGACAGAGAGAGAGTGAGAGAAAGAGAGAGAGAGAGAGAGAGAGAGAGAGAGAGAGAGAGAGAGAGAGAGAGAGAGAGAGAGAGAGAGAGAGAGAGAGAGAGAGGCAGTTGGAGGTAGAAAGAGAGAGGGAGAGGGGGTAGAGAGAGAGGGATAGGGAGAGAGAGAGATATAGGTAGAAAGGTAGAGGTAGAGAGAGAGCGAGAGAGAGAGAGAGAGAGAGAGAGAGAGAGAGAGAGAGAGAAAGAGAGAAAGAGACATCACTGAAATGAAGCAGACAATCTGAGACACCAAGAGCTTTCCACTCAAAAGTGGTGCAGAAATACATATATGATGATGACCTGAGAGAGCAGACAAGAAAATAAAATGGTTCCAAGCACAGAGAGTACCTGAGACTCCATTACGGGTTCTTCAATCTCGGTTAACCCAGAACTAAAAATTTGCGTAATTTGGTCAGAATGGGAGAATGGTGTTTTTAGTGGTTTGTAGCCTACAGTAACATAAATTAATGAAAACGCTATTATGTTCTTTGAAAAAAAATCATTAATATACTAATGTTACCTAATACCTTCATAAATATAACCAAAGGATTGTTTGCAGCAAGAGTGCAATTCGATTAGATACAAGGTGGAAAGACCTTTAGTTTCTATATGACAATGAAAACCCTGTACTCATTGACTTCAATTCAATTCAAATGACTCTATTTTCTTGTGAGGGAGCTTCTTGTGTGGAATGGTTCCTATGACAGACAAACAGCACATACAAATAATATCTAACAGGCAGTAGAGGACAGGACATAGGGGAAACAAGTTGCTCACTCCATCATAAAACTAACCGGGCTTTAGATTACTACCACAATAGTCTCCTCTAACAGCCAGCTCTGAGCCTGGGGATGAGGTTACTACCATACATCATTGATTACTACCCTACTGTATGAGTTAAATAGCTCTCCAATGTTCTCCTTTAGGCAATGGACAATGCTAATGCCTGTTTGTTCTGATCCTTCCTTCCTTCCCTCTCTCTCTCTCTCTCTCTCTCTCTCTCTCTCTCTCTCTCTCTCTCCATCCATCTCTCTCTCTCTCTCTCTCTCTCTCTCTCTCTCCATCTATCTCTCTCTCTCTCTCTCCATCCATCTCTCTCTCTCTCTCTCTCTCTCTCTCGCTCTCTCTCCATCCATCTCTCTTTCTCTCTCTCTCTCTCTCTCTCTCTCCATCCATCTCCGTCTCTCTCAATTCAATTCAATTCAATTCAAGCTGCTTTATTGGCATGAAAAACATTGCGTCAATATTGCCAAAGCAACAATGTATACAATATACATTGTAATAAAATAATAAATAATAACAAATAATAAAAAATGGTAGTAAATAATAATAAATAAATAAATAACAACAATAAAATGGTAACAGTCAATAGTATAAATATAATAAATATACAAATCTAAATATGGAAAATGAAACTATAACTAACTTATAACTAAATAACGGTCATCTTCACCATTATATCAGTACTACAACTACCATCATCATTACTACCACTACTACCACCACCATCATTAAACTGCCATCATTACCATTACCACCCATACCACTACTATTTGGAATGATAAACAACAATAATAATGGTAATAACAATAATAGCAATAACAATAATAATAAGTACGTTACTATTTATTATGCAGATGTTATTATTCAGTGTCCCTCAGGCTATGGCAGGCAAATACATATTTGGCTGCAAGAGGAGCCATAGCTCCTTCGCCCATGAGTATTTTTAGTTTTTCCTCTGGGTTTAATAAGTAAAATTTTGGAATAAATCTAGTCATTTCTGTGAATAATGAATCTCTTTGTGAGGAATATTTATCACAGTAAAGGAGAAAGTGCATTTCTGTTTCTACCTCCCCTGTCGTGCAGTGACCACATATACGCTCCTCTTTGGGTAGCCATGTCTTTTTATGTCTGCCGGTTTCTATTGCCAATTGATGGTCCCTCAGCCTGTACTTGGTAAGGATCTGTCTCTGCTTCGTATCTCTGACAGAGTAGAGATAATCAGCCGATTCATATTCTCTTTGGGATTTTGTTTCGTTTTTCCAATGTTGTAAATATGAGTCCTTTGATTGGTTCATGATTTTGTTCATTGGAATTCTTTCTTTTGAAGCAGTGCTGGTGTCAGCTTGGTTGGTTAGGTCCAACACCAGCTGACTGAGAGGGCTCGTTTCTGGGCTCAGCTGTTGGGTTTGAAGTGCTTTAAATTGCAGACTTGAATTTGGACTTGAATTTAGATGTAGCCAAAATATTAATGATCTTTTCTGTATTTTCATTACTACTGGAAAGCGGCTCAATTCTGCCCTACATGCATTAGTTGGTGTATTTCTCTGGACTTGTAGAATTTTCCGACAGAATTCTGCATGTAGGGCTTCAATTGGATGTTTGTCCCATATTTTAAAGTCCAGTTTATTGAGTGGCCCCCAAACCTCACTTCCGTAAAGAGCTATTGGTAGGATTACACTGTCAAATATTTTGGTCCAAATTCTAATTGGGATATTGATTTTGAATAATTTCATTTTTATTGCATACAATGCTCTGCGGGCTTTTTCTTTGAGTGCATTCACTGCCATATTAAAGTTTCCCGATGCAGATATGGTCAGACCAAGGTATGTGTAATTTTTAGTGTGTTCAATTATGGTGTTGTTCAGGGTGAATTTATATTTGTGTTTCTGACATCTGTTTTTTTTTTGTGGAAAATCATGATTTTAGTTTTTTTGAAATGTACTGCCAGGGCCCAATTATTGCAATATTGCTCTAGAATGTTAAGGTTCTGTTGAAGACCTTCTTTGGTTGGTGATAGAAGTACCAAGTCATCAGCATATCTCTCTCTCTCTCTCTCTGTCTCCTCTCTCTCGCGCCAGAGAGCGCGCGAGCGCGCGAGAGCGCGACAGCGACGCGCGCGCGCGCGGAGCCAGCGCCAGCGCAAGCGCGAGGCGCGCGGCGGCAAAGACGCAGCGCGCGCGCGCTGACGCGCAGCGCAGAGCGCGAGCGAGGCCAGCCAGCGCGCGATCTCGCGCGCGCCAGTCAAGCCGAGCGAGCCAGCGAGCAGTGGAGAGCGCGCGAGCGTTCGCGCGCGCGCGCACCAACGAGGAGAGCGCGCGCGAGGGCGAGCGCGCGCGCAGCGAGCGAGCAGCAGAGCCAGAGGCGATGCGGCCAGAGAGCGAGCAGAGTACAGGCTCGAGACATCTACATAGAGCGCCGCGAGAGCCATACTGTCTATATCTCTCGCGCGATCTCGCTAGAATCCATCTCTCTATAAGCCACCGAGATATCTCCATCAAGATCCTACACATCTTCTATCTCGTTGCGCTCTCTCTCTCCGCTCTCTCTCTCTCGTCCAGCCATACAGCCGCTCTCTCTCTTCTCAATGATCTCTCTATCTATCTCCATATCATTATCTCTCTCTCTCGCTCTATCTCTCTCTCTCTTCTCCTCCATCTCTCTCTCTCTCTCTTCTCTCTCTCTCTCTCTCTCTCTCTCTCCATCCATCTCTGTCTCTCTGTCTCTCTGTCTCTCTCTCTCTCTCTCTCTCTCTCCATCCATCTCTGTCTCCCTCTCTCTCTCTCTCTCTCTCTCTCTCCTCTCTCATCCATCTCTGTCTTCTCTCTATCTGTCTCTAGGATTTGCCGTGGGAGGGTTGTGATAACCCCTGGAACACAGAGAAATGTTTCTCCAACTACAGTTTGACAGACACCACCAACCTCACCAGTGCTGTCACTGAGTTCTGGGAGTACGTCAAATAATAAATTTTTATTTTAACACTTGAATTGTGGTGTTTCTAATGGTTTTTCATTTTTAAATCTAGCCTACATTAATATAAATTAATGAAAATGCTATTATGTTCTTTGAAAAAAAAACATTCATATACTAAAGACTTTCATAAATACAACCAAAGGATTGTTTTTCTGATAGCATACATGAAATGTATTTATTAGACTATTAGAATGTTGACGTCCAAAAGAGTGGGGTCCCTCGAGGCCAGGCATTTCTAGTGTTAAACTTCTATCATTTATCACTGAGTCGTGTGAAAAGCATGGGATAAAATATGTAAAATGTGTGTGTGTATACTAAATTTGTGTGTGTATATTGACAATGTGTGTGTGGGTGACCAGAGTGTGCATAACTGTTTGTTTGTGTGTGAGTGGCCTGTCTGTCTGTATGCGTGTGTGTGTGTTCATGTGTGTATAACCTGTCCGAAAGTATGTATGCATGTGTCTGTGTGACCCAGATGTGTGTGTGTGTGTGTGACTGCACTGACCGGTGTGTGTGTGACTGCACTGACCGGTGTGTGTCCCCCGTCCAGGCGGAACATGCACCAGCTGTCCAGTGGTCTGGAGGAGCCTGGTGAGGTGCGCTGGCCCCTGGCTGGAACTCTGGCCTTGTCCTGGATCCTGGTCTACTTCTCTATCTGGAAAGGAGTGGAGTGGACAGGGAAGGTCAGACCTCTTGCTCTTATTTCTACTCTCTTTCTTTTTTCCTTCTCTCTTTTCTTTCATGTCTCTTTCTCTCTCTCTTTCCGTCCCTCCTTTCCCATCTTGGTGCTTTTGTCTTGGTCTCTCTCTTTCTGTCTCATTATGTCTGGGTGACTCTGTTTCCATCTCTCTCTCTGTCTCTGGCACTCATGGTATTTCATGAAAAACTCTCTTCATCTGGAAGACACATCAACCACAATACAATTGATAGAATGGCTAAATCCATTTCAGCATCATCATATACTATAGTTCAACTCTGATATATGCAGCAGGCCACAGCTACCTTCCATGACTGTAACCTGGCAACTACATATTCTTCTCCGAGGGTAATTGGAATTTAATGTCAACCACACAAAGCAGAAAATTAATTCCCCCAAGGCCCTGGCCTTGATGGAATTGACCAATTAAACACAATCATTATTTGACAAAGCGCAAAGCACAGGAGAGGAAGGTGAGGCAGGCGAGCAGGAATTAAAATGTTTCAGTCCCTAATGGTGAATGTTTCAGTCTGCTCATGTACCATTGAGGTTGGAAGTTCACCCTCAATTGGGATTTTCAACTACCCACCTTTTCACTCCTCACCAATGCACCATGTCTATGTAGTCCTCTGTAGCTCAGCTGGTAGAGCATGGCGCTTGTAACGCTAAGGTAGTGGGTTCAATCCCCGGGACCACCCATACACAAAAAAAATAAAAAATGCATGCATGACTGTAAGTCGCTTTGGATAAAAGCGTCTGCTAAATGACATATTTATTATTTATGTCTGTTCTTCAGGTGGTCTATTTCTCTGTCCCCTATCTGTTCTTCAGGTGGTCTATTTCTCCGCCACGTACCCTTACTTCATGCTGTTTATCCTGTTTTTCCGTGGGGTCACTCTCCCTGGGGCCAAGGAGGGCATCCTCTTCTACATCACCCCCGACTTCAACAAACTCCTCAAGTCTGAGGTACGGTAGCCCCTAAGGGTCACACACTCACAGACCATGTGTCTATGCGCACACTCAAATGTCAACAGGAAAAATAAGAAATGTTTAATGTCTTGACATGTGAAAACTGTCCTGTGTATTTCGATATGTCTTTGTGAGTGTGTGTGTATTTCGGTATGTCTTTGTGAGTTTGTGTGTATTTCGGTATGTCTTTGTGAGTGTGTGTGTATTTCAGTATGTCTTTGTGAGTGTGTGTGTATTTCGGTATGTCTTTGTGAGTGTGTGTGTATTTCGGTATGTCTTTGTGAGTGTGTGTGTATTTCGGTATGTCTTTGTGAGTGTGTGTGTATTTCGGTATGTCTTTGTGAGTGTGTGTGTATTTCGGTATGTCTTTGTGAGTGTGTGTGTATTTCGGTATGTCTTTGTGAGTGTGTGTGTATTTCGGTATGTCTTTGTGAGTGTGTGTGTATTTCGGTATGTCTTTGTGAGTGTGTGTGTATTTCGGTATGTCTTTGTGAGTGTGTGTTTATTTCGGTATGTCTTTGTGAGTGTGTGTGTATTTCGGTATGTCTTTGTGAGTGTATGTATTTCGGTATGTCTTTGTGAGTGTGTGTTTATTTCGGTATGTCTTTGTGAGTGTGTGTGTATTTCGGTATGTCTTTGTGAGTGTGTGTGTATTTCAGTATGTCTTTGTGAGTGTGTGTGTATTTCGGTATGTCTTTGTGAGTGTGTGTGTATTTCAGTATGTCTTTGTGAGTGTGTGGTGTATTTCGGTATGTCTTTGTGAGTGTGTGTGTATTTCAGTATGTCTTTGTGAGTGTGTGTGTATTTCGGTATGTCTTTGTGAGTGTGTGTGTATTTCAGTATGTCTTTGTGAGTGTGTGTGTATTTCAGTATGTCTTTGTGAGTGTGTGTGTATTTCCGTATGTCTTTGTGAGTGTGTGTGTATTTCCGTATGTCTTTGTGAGTGTGTGTGTATTTCGGTATGTCTTTGTGAGTGTGTGTGTATTTCGGTATGTCTTTGTGAGTGTGTGTGTATTTCAGTATGTCTTTGTGAGTGTGTGTGTATTTCGGTATGTCTTTGTGAGTGTGTGTGTATTTCAGTATGTCTTTGTGAGTGTGTGTGTATTTCGGTATGTCTTTGTGAGTGTGTGTGTATTTCAGTATGTCTTTGTGAGTGTGTGTGTATTTCGGTATGTCTTTGTGAGTGTGTGTGTATTTCCGTATGTCTTTGTGAGTGTGTGTGTATTTCGGTATGTCTTTGTGAGTGTGTGTGTATTTCGGTATGTCTTTGTGAGTGTGTGTGTATTTCGGTATGTCTTTGTGAGTGTGTGTGTATTTCGGTATGTCTTTGTGAGTGTGTGTGTGTTTTTGTCTGACTACTCTCCCAGGTGTGGCTGGACGCTGCCACTCAGATCTTCTTCTCCTATGGACTGGGTCTGGGTTCGCTCATCGCCTTGGGAAGTTACAACTCCTTCAACAACGATGTGTACAGGTAAGAAACCCCCACAGCCTCTCCTTTATGCCTTATGCCCCTGTTAGTGACCCACTGGTTTCAAACCTGGGTCTCCTGTCATGTGTGCATCAAGACTGTTAGCCCTCTGAGCTAAAGCCTGTGCATTTTCTCAGGGAGCTAACGCACATCTTCAGGTAAGGCTCATCAAACGACTTCTGTTACATGTTAAAAACCTAGATGATGGAACCCAGTGGCGGCTGGTGAAAAATATTCTCGGTGGGGCTGTGCCATACTTTTTTTTTCCTGTAACCATCGCAATATATTTTAACACAAACTGCAGGACAGCAGTGCTCAGTGAAACATTCAGTAATTATTTAATGCCAATATTAAAAAGTTGAGGCATTCTTACACAAAAACATATTACACAAACCCAAGCCTTTCATTTGCATTTAAAGTGAACTTTTCACCATTGGTAGTAAACAGGCAACGCAACAGGCATGCTGTCAGAACAGAGTGGAAAGTGGACAATAACATGAAATTATTATAAAGTTTATAGGAAATCTTACACTGTATAAAAGGATGTATAATATAGAAATGGATATCAAGTGGATGAACTCAAACCTCTGACTGGAAGAATAGCATACAGTATTTTATGATCATACTAAATGTGACTAATTGTTAATGTGCTCCAGAACTGCAACAATTAATTGATACAAAACAACATATATACAGTAATATTAGCAAAGACACTATTAAGACTTTCTAGAGTACCATATATAACTGGATTTTTTATGCTAAGGTCAACTATATACAAAGAAACATGCGGCCAGAGCTGCTCTGTGTGTGTGTGTCTGTCATCTTATTTGTACAGGAATTTTGCCCGTCTGTCCTTCTGAGTGGCAAACTTCTCAATGACCCTTTGATTAAAGTCAGGAATGTCCCTGACAAGTTTCTTCTCCATGGAGAGCATGGCCAGAGCGTTCAGGCGATCCTGTGTCATGCTGTTTCTCAGGAAGGTCTTGATCCTTTTCAGTGTAGAGAAGCACCTTTCTGACTCAGCAGTTGTCATGGGTGTGGTGATGAGGATCTTGAGGAGGCTGGCAGTCTCTGTGAAAGTCCTCTGAAGGTTGTTCTCCATGAAGAACTGGTACAGGGGCACTGCACCACTACAAGCCTTGAACTCACTGTTCTCATAGATGAGGGACAGTTCGGTTTTGAGCTTGGCCTTGTTCAACATGGGGTACGCCTCCACGGTTGTTTCAAGCGCTGTATCGGGGAACTTCACACTGTGTTGTGGGAACAACTCTCCGTGCAACAGTGTTGCGCTGATGAGGTGCTGGGTGAAGGAGAACCTCTCTTTGGCATGACTCAGGATGGTATCACATACCTGTAAAAGATACATCATCAGCTTTAATTTGCAATTAAGCTATTTTGATGCAAGTGATCCTGACTGACACATGCCTATGTCCAACTCAAGTATATGATTACCAAGGTGCTGATTGTTCAGGGTTTTGGCTACATACTACCAGGCCTGAAAAAAGTTCTAGGGGGAAACACTGAAAATTACATCACAACTTACCTCTATAGCCAACCTCTGTTGTTCTCCTGGTCCCAGCATCCTCCGTCGCTTGATGGGCTGTTGCTGCTCGTCAGATGCGCTGTCCCCACACAAAGAGGGAATTGAGGCCCTGGGTCCAAAAAATAAAGTTTAATTTGATAACTTGCAATCAGACTTCTTAACTCACTGTAATTCCCCCTCAACACACAACCAGTGACTTTTATATATATATATATATATATATATATATATATATATATATATATATATATATATATAGACAGACAGACAGACAGATAGTGTGTATATACACACAAACTATGTCTAGTAACTGCTTTTAACCTGTGATGTACATAATTAACTGATGTTATTACGTTTTAAAGCCTTTTTCTATTACATTTGTGAGAGGGATGCAACATCATTTTGTTCTGCTGTGCACTTAGCAATAAAGTTAATCTTCAATAACAACTAGGCCTCTTCTAGAAATTGACCTGGTGGACACCTGAATAATTATTACAAACTGTGTAGTACTTTCCTGCATTATTATCAACGTCTGATTGTGTCTTCTCTTTCCTTTTAAAATACTAAAACAAATATAATTGTGACGGCTCTATGATAATCACTCACTTTGATGACCAGACACATTTAGGCTTTTAAACTGTTGTAAGTGAACTATTCATCTTTCTAACAACATCTTTATCAGCCAATGGTAAATATAGTTATTTACCTGATTGTTAGCATGCTGTCTGTGAACCTCTGGACAAGTGCTTTAATGAAGACAGGGTCGATGTTCCTCTTCTGCAGCTGGCTGAAAAGCATGTCCACATTTGGCATGATCTTGTGGAACAGTGCCAGGAAAAAAACAGAAAGCCTCGTCTTCGAGCATCCTCACAAAGCCCCCCGCCTCTCTGACAGTCGGGGCATCAATGTTCCCAGAGTCTCTGATGGTCTGGAAACACGTTAGGAGGTCATCCCTGTACTCGTACACAGTGTTTACAGCGCGACTGTGGAAGTTCCACCGTGTTGTAGAGGCTCTGGGGAGTCTATGCGCAACCACTTCGTCAAGCACGGTGGTTCGCTTGGGAGACCTGGAGAAGAAAGCAGAAAATCCTGCAAGGTCGGAAAAGAAAGTGCTGATCCTGGGGATGCGTGAAGTAGCCTGCTGCATGATGAGGTTCAGCTGATGTGCATAGCAGTGGACGTAGTGCGCATTTTCGTACACATCCACTATTTTACGCTGCACTCCGCCGGTGGCTCCCCTCATCACACTTGCTCCGTCGTAAGCCTGGGCAATAAGTTTGGCCTTTTGTCCATGTGAGAGTATGGTGCTGAGCCTCTCCAGCAGCGCTGTAGCGATGGTGTCGGCGGTTGCGTTCTCGATCAAAATGAACTCGAAAAAACGCTCTTGGACGTTACTTTTAGCATCGATGTAGCGTATCACAAGCACCAACTGGCAGTGGGTGGAAACGTCAGTCGTCTCGTCAGCTTGAATGGCGATAAAATCAGCACTCTTTACTTCCTCCAGGATGTAATCCTTAAGCACTGACAGCATACAGTCCAACAGCTCGTTCTGTATCGTCTTTGAAGTGCCCTTAAAAACGGTAGCTGTCTTCAGGTGCTCCTCCAGCACACTGTCGAGGGAGGCAACAAAATCCACTAAGCCCCGGAAAATGCCGGGGTTGTCCGAGGAGTCAGTCTCCTCGTGCCCACGCAAGGCCAACTCAAAAGCCCCACAGAACTTCACACAATCGATAATTTTGGATAGAATGTGCCTGTTTTTATCCACCTCCTCATTGTGTTTCCTCACCGCAATCCTGTGGCCGTCATCCAGCTGCGTAGCAATGTTCACCCTTCCTAATACAGCTAGCTTTACAGAGTTGTCCATGTGTGCCCTGGTGTTCTCATGTTTCTTTACCTTCTCTGACAGGTGCTTCATATCCCTCACTCCGGTACCTGTCCATGCTGAATCTGACCCCGTCGTTTTAAAAAGCAAGCACGGAAAGCAAAATAAAGCATTAGCATCAGTGCACCCAGCTAGCCAAGCCTTCCTGGTGTACCAGCTACGGGAGAAGCCGCGCATATACTGCTTCCCTTTCTCGCTAGCCTGCTGTCTGATTGAGAGGTCAGGTTGATCTGGGCCCAGCTCTTTCACCCGAACTTTCTCTGACAAAGTTCTCCTCTCAAACGGATCTTGGAGGAGAGATTTCACCGAGTTAGGGTTGGGTCTTGGAGGAGTAACGTTTGCGCTCGCCATTGTCGTCTAGTAAAAATGGCGCCACTGGAGCCCGGTCCTTATTTTATCAGGGGCGAGCTTGGGGCGATAAAATAATCGCCCTCCTTGGATTCGATTTAAGATCGCTGATTGGCTACATTTTATGTCATACATTCATATCTTAAATTAGCAATTGGCTTAACTGCTACGTAGACCCGCCTCCTCGGGGCACTTTCTGTATCGCCCAGAGCTGACGAGGCGTTTGACAGGCAGAGGAAAGGTTGCGAATATGATTTTCTATCATATCTTACACATATTACTGTGTGCATTCCATATTTCAAACACACACATATTGACATACTGATGTTTTTATTATTATTATTATTATTTTTATTTATTTTTTATTTTATTTTTTTAAATAATTTTATTTAAGGGGGCGGGGCCCTAGCGCCCTCTATCGGCCAGCCGCCACTGATGGAACCATTCTATTTGCTTTGATTCTATACTTCTGAGTTCCACTCCATCGTTCCTCTCCCTTTCATTTGTTCTATCCTTTTCTTGTTATTGTCTTCCGTGGTGTTCCATTATGGTGTCCTGTCTCCTTACCAATACCAAACATGGGTTGTGTTTTTCTCTCCTGTCAGGGACTCCCTCATCGTGTGCTGTATAAACTCCTTCACTAGCATGTTTGCGGGCTTCGTCATCTTCTCCATTGTGGGCTTCATGTCGTACATCACCAAGAAGCCTGTCCAGGAGCTAGCTGCCTCAGGTACAGTACAGTTAACTCACCCTACTGCAGCATTCACTGTTATTCACATCAGAGTCAGCTGTTCCTGATTAACACTATAGAGTCAAACCGAGCTGTACTACCCTGGTCTAATTACTCATCCAACATAGTTGCTGGAACAGTGCTGGAAAGGACAATGTCAAAATAAAATATAATAAAATATAAAGGATGTTCAGACTCTACAGCAGGGGTGTCAAACTCATTCCACAGAGGGCCGAGTGTCTGCGGGTTTTTGGTATTTCCTTTCAATTAAGACCTAGACAACCAGGTGAGGGGAGGTCTTCACAAATTAGTGACCTTAATTCATCAATCAAGGGAGGAGCAAAAGCCCGCAGACACTCGGCTCTCCGTGGAATGAGTTTGACACCTTCCTATAGTGTCAATCTAGCACTGGGTATCTTCTTCTTGATACAGTAAAAGTAATTAATTGATTAATGCCACTGATTGGCCACAGACTCCAATCACCTTTTGCCTGAGGGTCTGAATAAGTCCCTGATTAGAGGGGAAGAATGAAAATCAGCAGCACTTCTTCTGACATATGAGAAAAGGGATCATAGTGCTCCTAATCAACTCATCAATTAAAAAAGGAAGCCAAGTATAGTATTGGTTTCTTAGATGCATGTAAGATACAATAAAGGACTGAAGTTATATCACTTTGTCAGGAACATCAAAATATAAGCTTTTATTCAACAGAAGAGATTTCATATGGTACAATAATTATCATGGTGTGCAGTACTGTGTCCATTTGAGTGTGAGTATGCACTGTGGGCTGAGGCTCACTGATGTACTGTTATGTGTAACTCTAGGCCCAGACTTAGCTCACTGTGTTTGGGGTGGTGTGTAACTCTAGACCCAGACTTAGCTCACTGTGTTTGGGGTGGTGTCTAACTCTAGGCCCAGGCTTGGCGTTCTTGGCTTATCCCCAGGCCGTGACTCAGCTGCCCATGTCCTCCCTGTGGGCCATCCTGTTCTTCTCCATGCTGATGATGCTGGGGCTGGACAGCCAGGTGAGGATCCCACCTAGAGTCACGTGACTCCCAGATAACTACCAAGGGAAGAGAGGTGTTAGTGGTGGGAACCAGACAGACAACAGACAAGCCAACATTGCAATTCCTTACAGTAGAACAAAGAGAATAACAGAACGGCTGGTGGACATGTGACAAGTGGCTTGTTGCTACCGAGTAGATGTTGCATAGAATTCCCACAGTTATTTCAATTTTCAACGGAATGCACAAAAAGTGAGTGTCCAGGTGACCCTGCAGAAGCTAGCTCGCCTGTTAGAGGTCTCTGGTGCAAGACCTGAGTGAACCAACGTGTGTGTGTGTGTGTTAACCTGTGTGCTCTGCCTGTAGTTCTGTACTGTGGAGGGCTTCATCACAGCTCTGATGGATGAGTTCCCCATGGTGCTGAGGAAGAGGAAGAAGGTCTTCATCCTTGGCGTCTGTCTAATGTCCTTCCTCATCGGCTTCTCCAACATCACACAGGTAACACAGTGTGTGTGTGTGTGTGTGTGTGTGAATGTGTGTGTGGATTGTGTGTGTGGATGTACTGTTTGTTTAGGGTTAGCGTTTGTGTGAGAGAATGTGTTTATGCGTCTTTGTGTGTATATTTGTGTGTGTATGAGGGCATGCCCGTGTGTGTGTGTGTTTAGCCTTTTAACAAGCCTCTATGGCTGCGATGCTTCCCCAGGGTGGTCTGTACGTCTTCAAGCTGTTTGATTACTATTCTGCCAGCGGGATGTGCCTCCTCTTCCTTGTCTTCTTCGAAACCGTCTCCATTTCCTGGTTCTATGGTAGGACACTGTCAGCTTCTATACCATTAGGAGAATATAGGATCTATATTCTGCACTTTTCTTATTTTCTACATACATACATCCCGTTTAAACACTATCCATTTGTACTGCTACAGTTAATAATAACAATACATTTTATTTTAAGTGATTTTCACGACCCCCAAAGTCTCTTTACAAGAAGATCAGCAGGATAGAAAGTAATAAAATCACATATTAAAATAAGTAAGTATAAAAGTACACTAAACATAATGACAGACTGACTAGGGAGAACACTAAACATGATGACAGACTAACCTGGGAGAACACTAAACATGATGACAGACTAACCAGGGAGAACACTAAACATGATGACAGACTGACCATGGAGAACACTAAACATGATGACAGACTGACCAGGGAGAACACTAAACATGATGACAGACTGACCAGGGAGAACACTAAACATAATGACAGACTGACTAGGGAGAACACTAAACATGATGACAGACTAACCAAGGAGAACACTAAACATGATGACAGACTAACCAGGGAGAACACTAAACATGATGACAGACTAACCAGGGAGAACACTAAACATGATGACAGACTGACCATGGAGAACACTAAACATGATGACAGACTGACCAGGGAGAACACTAAACATGATGACAGACTGACCAGGGAGAACACTAAACATGATGACAGACTGACCAGGGAGAACACTAAACATGATGACAGACTGACCATGGAGAACACTAAACATGATGACAGACTGACCATGGAGAACACTAAACATGATGACAGACTGACCAGGGAGAACACTAAACATGATGACAGACTAACCAGGGAGAACACTAAACATGATGACAGACTGACCAGGGAGATCACTAAACATGATGACAGACTGACCAGGGAGAACACTAACCATGATGACAGACTGACCAGGGAGAACACTAAACATGATGACAGACTAACCAGGGAGAACACTAAACATGATGACAGACTAACCATGGAGAACACTAAACATGATGACAGACTGACCATGGAGAACACTAAACATGATGACAGACTGACCATGGAGAACACTAAACATGATGACAGACTGACCAGGGAGAACACTAAACATGATGACAGACTAACCAGGGAGAACACTAAACATGATGACAGACTGACCAGGGAGAACACTAAACATGATGACATACTGACCAGGGAGAACACTAAACATGATGACAGACTAACCAGGGAGAACACTAAACATGATGACAGACTAACCATGGAGAACACTAAACATGATGACAGACTGACCATGGAGAACACTAAACATGATGACAGACTAACCAGGGAGAACACTAAACATGATGACAGACTGACCAGAGAGAACACTAAACATGATGACAGACTAACCATGGAGAACACTAAACATGATGACAGACTAACCATGGAGAACACTAAACATGATGACAGACTAACCATGGAGAACACTAAACATTATGACAGACTAACCATGGAGAACACTAAACATGATGACAGATTAACCATGGAGAACACTAAACATGATGACAGACTGACCAGGGAGAACACTAAACATGATGACAGACTGACCAGGGAGAACACTAAACATGATGACAGACTGACCATGGAGAACACTAAACATGATGACAGACTAACCAGGGAGAACACTAAACATGATGACAGACTGACCAGGGAGAACACTAAACATGATGACAGACTGACCAGAGAGAACAATAAACATGATGACAGACTAACCATGGAGAACACTAAACATGATGACAGACTAACCATGGAGAACACTAAACATGATGACAGACTAACCATGGAGAACACTAAACATTATGACAGACTAACCATGGAGAACACTAAACATGATGACAGACTGACCATGGAGAACACTAAACATGATGACAGATTAACCATGGAGAACACTAAACATGATGACAGACTGACCAGGGAGAACACTAAACATGATGACAGTCTGACCAGGGAGAACACTAAACATGATGACAGACTGACCAGGTAGAACACTAAACATGATGACAGACTGACCATGGAGAACACTAAACATGATGACAGACTGACCAGGGAGAACACTAAACATGATGACAGACTGACAAGGGAGAACACTAAACATAAGAACAGACTAACCATGGAGAACACTAAACATGATGACAGACTAACCATGGAGAACACTAAACATGATGACAGACTGACCAGGGAGAACACTAAACATGATGACAGACTGACCAGGGAGAACACTAAACATGATGACAGACTAAACATGGAGAACACTAAACATGATGACGGAAAGACCATGGAGAACACTAAACATAAGAACAGACTGACCAGGGAGAACACTAAACATGATGACAGACTGACCAGGGAGAACACTAAACATGATGACAGACTAACCATGGAGAACACTAAACATGATGACAGACTGACCAGGGAGAACACTAAACATGATGACAGACTGACCAGGGAGAACACTAAACATGATGACAGACTGACCAGGGAGTACACTAAACATGATGACAGACTAACCAGGGAGAACACTAAACATGATGACAGACTGACCAGGGAGAACACTAAACATGATGACAGACTGACCAGGGAGAACACTAAACATGATGACAGACTAACCATGGAGAACACTAAACATGATGACAGACTGACCAGGGAGAACACTAAACATGATGACAGACTGACCAGGGAGAACACTAAACATGATGACAGACTGACCATGGAGAACACTAAACATGATGACAGACTAACCAGGGAGAACACTAAACATGATGACAGACTGACCAGGGAGAACACTAAACATGATGACAGACTAACCATGGAGAACACTAAACATGATGACAGACTAACCAGGGAGAACACTAAACATGATGACAGACTGACCAGGGAGAACACTAAACATGATGACAGACTAACCAGGAAAGTGAACTAGACGGAGGATAAAAGCTAAGACAACAGAGAATCTGGGTAAGCCTGTGTGAAGAGGTGTGTCTTTAGTTTGGACTAGAATATGTGTATGGATTGTGAGGTTCTGACATGGAGAGGGAGGGAGTTCCAGAGTTGGAGAGCTGCACTGCTAAAAGCCGGGTCTCCCATGGAGCGGAGCCTGGCGTGAGAGATGGTGATGAGGCCAGTGTCAGAGGAGCCAGGTGGGAGTGTAAGGGTGCAGGAGGTCAGTAAGGTATGTGGGCGCCAGTCCATTGAGTGCCTTTATAGGTGAGCATGAGCAATTTAAAGATGATCCTGTATTGAACTAGGAGCCAGTGGAGTTTGATGAGGGTGGGGGTGATGTGGTCCCCAAGGTCTGGTGTGTGTGAGGACTCAGTTGAAGTTTGAATATGTTGAAACTGGGTCAATCCACAGGGTTAGTGGAAAATAATAAAGGAAAATGTCTTTATCAAATATATTTTCCTTAATTATTTTCCACTAAACCTGTGGATTGACCCAGTTTCTTGATGAGGGAGTTGGGGCCCATGAGCATGATCTCAGTTTTGTTGTAATTTAGTTTTAAAAAGTTATTGCTCATCCAAGTTTTCACTTCACGGAGACAATCAACAACAGCTGGCATTATAAAGTCAATGCAGGTTAACTACCGAGCTAACTCGAAATCACATCAACAGTCCCACTTGGGATATAGCCTACAGATAACTTTTGGGCTGTCTTGACATATAACCTTTAAACCGTCACCTTGTGTAGTTTGTTCAATGCACTCTCCCTCTCTCTCTCTCTCTCTCTCTCTCTCTCTCTCTCTCTCTCTCTCTCTCTCCTCTCTCTCTCTCTCTCTCTCTCTCTCTCTCTCTCTCTCTCTTAGGAGCTGATAAGTTCTATGGGGACATTGAAGAGATGATCGGCTATCGGCCCTGTGGCTGGTGGAAGCTCTGCTGGAAGTTCTTCACTCCGGCAATCTGCCTGGTAACTGCCATTTCCATTCAGGCTTCTCATTGGTTGTCAATGTGTTTAAATCCCCAGGGAAATCAAACACTGGTTGCGTCCCAAATGGCATCCGATTTCCTATATAGTGCATTATGTATTTATTTTTTTCCAGCTTCCAGGAATTGTGAATAGATCCTTGCGACATGGGGCTGTGCATTATCATGCTGAAACATGAAGTGATGACGGCTGATGAATTGCATGACAATGGGCCTCAGGATATCGGTATCTCTGTGCATTCAAATTGCCATAGACAAAATGCAATTGTGTTCGTTGCCCGTAGCTTATGCCTGCCCATACCATAACCACACCGCCACCATGGGGCACTCTGTTCACAACGTTGACATCAGCAAACCGCTCGCCCACACGACGCCATACACGTGGTCTGCGGTTGTGAGGCCGTTTGGACAAATTCTCTAAAACGACATTGGTAGAGAAATTACCATTCAATTATCTGGCAACAGCTCTGATGGACATTCCTGTAGCCAGCATGCCAATTGCAGGCTCCCTTAAAACTTGAGACATCTGTGGCATTGTGTTGTGTGACAAAACTGCAAAATTTAGAGTGGCCATTTATTGTCCTATCTGGCCGGCTTGTCTTATCTGGCCAGCCGTTGTACTTGTCCTATCTGGTTGACTTGTCCTATCAGACTGACTTGGCCATCCTGGCCAGCCGGCCAGATCGGCTTGTCCTATCTCGTCGGCCGGGGTTGGGAGATCTGGTATACATCTGCGATGTAGTTGGCCTGGAGCGTCACCTATTTTAATGTGAGGTAAATGTTTCTGTGTGTGCAGGGAGTGTTTACCTTCAGTGCCATTGAGATGACCCCCCTGACATTGGGGAAGTACGTGTACCCGGCATGGGGGCAGGGGATTGGCTGGGTCATGTCTCTGTCATCCATGGTTCTGGTGCCGGGCTATGTCATCTACATGTTCTGCACCTCCAAGGGCAGTATCAAACAGGTACACAGTCAACCAGCAGATCCCACATTGCTCCATATCCTTCCCCTTTGGCCCTAACCCCTCAATAATAGCATGTCTGTAGGGTCTGGATAGGTAGATGCTTGCACCATATTGCTTCCACTATACAGATCTACAAATATCGAGAGTTGGGGCTAAGGGGAAGGGGTAGAGAGAGATTGGGGACTGGCTAGACATCTCTATCTCTCTCAGTTGCTCTCTCCTTCCGTTTTCTTTATTTTTTCTATCTCCCTCTATGACTCTCTCTCTCTGTCCCCCCTCTCTCTCTCTCTCCCTCTCTGCCCCCCCCCTCTCTCTCACTCTCTCTCTGCCCCCCCTCTCTCTGTCCCCCCCTATCTCTGTGTCCCATTTCACTCACTCTCTCTCTCTGTCCCCTCACTCTCTCTATGTCCTCTTACTCTGTCTCTCTCTCTGTCCCCTCACTCACTCACTCTCTCTCTCTCTCTCCCCTCACTCACTCAATCTCAGTCTCTGATCACTGACTAAGTAGACTGACTGATCTACAAATCACCTTGTATCCTTAATAACTTTTCATTATGATTTGTAGATCAGTCAGTCTGCTTAGTCAGTGATCAGCTACTGAGTAGAATCTCAAACACGACTTTCATCTCTGTATACACCTCTTCTCTCTCCGTTTTTCCCCTCAACCCACCTCTTTCACACATGAGAAGAATAAATAAATTGCCTTAGCTATGAAACGTCATTTATCAAACAACAGCCCCATTATAATGGAAAAGATCACCTTTATGCTGTAGTCAAAAGCAGACCTGCGTTCAAATGGCATTTGTGCATGATTGAGATTGCCTGGCACAATAAACCAATAGAATAGTCCCAAAAGATGGGCAAACACTACCCAACTGGAATTCCAGGTGGGCTCAAACAAACCCTCAACATATTTTAAAGATTTCAAAGGCTATTTGAATCCAGGTCTGGTTGAAAGTATTATGAGAAATCACCTTTAAACTGTAGTTGAAAGTATCCCTCATTGCTGGTTCCCTGTCTGTCCTGAACAGCGTTGGCACAAGATGACCACCAGCGCACCTTGGGAACATGCTGCCGTCACACACCAGAATTCACACACAGGAAGTGTGGGCGAAGCCGCCGTCTAACTGGGAATAGGATACAGTTGACCCCTGGGCACTGATCTAAGGTCAGTTTAGTGTCTCCCTACTAATGGTTAAGATTAGGATTTTTGGGAGTGTAAACTGATCCTAGATCTGTGCCTACCGGCAACTTCCACCCAGAATTCCTGAATGCGCCAGACACCTAGTCAACACAGGGGGTGTATTCACTAGGAACCAAACTAACCAAACGGAACCCAACAGAAGCAAACAGACCGAAACGGGGAGTGACCTACCTGAATTTGTCCAATAGAAACTAATGTTTCCGTTAGGAGTAAACGATTTCTGTTGCGAAACATTTCGCAACTATTTGCTACGGTCTTGCTCTAATGAATACACCCCAGTATTCAGACAGAGAAAGGCATCATGGGAGATGCCCTGGCCAAAATGCGTCCATTCCATATGTATCCTCTGGAACTGAATGGTCACATAATATAATGGCCTATATTATTGAACAATACAATGTTTTTTTCTTATATTGTACGCCGCTGTATACAATTAATAAGGTGACACCTACTTCTTCAAACAACGATCTATACAAAGTCATTGTGGCCCACTTCGGCTTACGAACAAATACAAAGCATTTTATAAAGTATCTGAATACATTGAAAAATATAATTTTTATTTTAATGTTTTATGTCTGTTTCTTCTATGATGCAGTATACGGTACATATTCATTAGAGGTAACATTCACCAGTTTAGCGTTTAATGTAACAGTTATAATAACAGTTCGTACTATAAATAACGGTTTGTACAATATATTAAACATCTCTTAAATGTTTATAACTGGCCCTTACATTAAGATACTGTATGTTTGTTTGTATGTACAGTTTTCAACTGTAAATATTATTCTGTGAGTCCAAATGGTGTTATAGTGAATGAAATGAAACAAAACGTGTTCAATAATGTACTGTATGAAGTAGCCCTATATAAAGGTACAAGCCATGAATTTAAAAAAAAAAAATTTCTCATCGCTAAAATTGTACTATGAGAAGGGATTTGGTTGGGTATTGCTCTGTTTCTTTCAGTTCAATAAAAGCAAACAAAACCACACACACAAATATATTTAATTTAGTGTCAACTCTTTTATGCTAGCCTCCCTTTTCACAGATAGGCCTGCTGTTTACCGTCTCTCACAACACAAAAGGTTCAATACACATGAACTTGAATAATCTCTACAAATGGAACAGACATGCACTCAGAGGAGAGTTGTTTATCTCTCCTCTGTTTATCTGTTGCATTGTGAGAGCCATTTAGTGTTTTTATATAACTAGCATATAAGTCAGGCAGCCACAATAGCCAAAATACTGCAGAGAGCGCTGATATTTCCTTCCCAGTACTGCTGAAACATGGGACACAGTTTGGGACACAAAAAACAAGGGACACAGTGGGAGAAGCCACTCGTTACTATCTATGAGTAGGGCCAGGAGTTACTCCTCACCTAACCTGACCAGAATAAACTACCCACTGGGCACATACGTCAATTCAATGTTTATTCCACATTGGTTCAACGTAATTTCATTAAAATGATGTGCAAACAATGTTGATTCAACTAGTGTGTGCCCAGTGGGTATTGGCACTAGTTATAGGCTATGTAGGCTATATACTAACTAGTAATAACTTGGGTCCAATGGTAATGGCGCCGGAGGGGGTGGCTGCCGTTTTATGGACTCTTAACCAACCGTGCTATTTTGTGTGTTTTTTCGCATTGTTTGTAAGTTATTTTGTATATAATGTTGCTACTACCATCTCTTATGACCGAAAATAGCTTCTGGACATCAGAACAGCGATTACTGACCTTGAACTGGACAAATCATTTGTATTTAATGACTCGGACGAGAGGGACTTGCTCCAGACACCCGACAGGGCCCTCATCCCCGTCATTCGCAGTAGAAAGAAAAGGAGATATTGCGGAAGGAGATTGGGGTGCCTGGTAAGGAGCCGGCAACGAGTGGCTAATCTGCCTTTGCCATCGATACTATTTTATTTTTATTTTTTATTTTTTTAAGGGGGTAGATCAGCTTAATATTGCAGATAGATTGTAACTTCCATCAATGTAATTGTCTGCATCACTTCCAATCCCCCATGTTTTTTATATATATACTCTCTATTACTTTTCAACCCCGCCATCCTTTCCCTACTTGGGGTAAATTAGTGAACAACAATGCTTAGGCCTCTACTTCCAGCTTATACTTACTATCTACATTTTATGGACACAGTCAATTTTACAATAATTATATTTTGTCCATCGATACTATTGGCCAACTTACAATCGCTTGATAATAAAGTGGACAAACTACAAGCATATATATCCTACCAATGGGACATTAAAAACTGTAATATCTTATGTTTCACAGAGTCGTGGCTGAACGAAGACATGAATAACATACAGCTGTCGGGTTATACACTGTATCGGCAGGATAGAACAGCAGCCTCTGGTAAGACAAGGGGTGGCGGTCTATGTATATTTGTAAACAACAGCTGGTGCACGATATCTAAGGAAATCTCAAGGTTTTGCTCGCCTGAGGTAGTGTATCTCATGATAAGCTGTAAACCACACTATCTACCAAGAGAGTTTTCTCCCATATATCAATATTCTTCGTAGCTGTCTATTTACCACCACAAACCGATGCTGGCACTAAGACCGCACTCAATTACCTGTATACGGCCATAAGCAAACAGGAAAACGCTCATCCAGAGGCGGTGCTCCTAGTGGCCGGGGACTTTAATGCAGGGAAACTTACATCCGTTTAACCTCATTTCTACCAGCATGTTAAATGTGCAACTAGAGGGAAAAAAACTCTAGACCACCTTTACTCCACACACAGAGACGTGTACAAAGCTCTCCCTCGCCCTCCATTTGGCAAATCTGACAATAATTCTATCCTCCTGATTCCTGCATACAAGCAAAAATCCTGCTACGCCCTCCGATGAACCATCAAACAGGCAAAGAGTCAATACAGGACTAAGATTGAATCGTACTACACCGCCTCCGACGCTCGTCGGATGTGGCAGGGCTTGTAAACTATTACAGACTACAAAGGGAAGCACAGCTGCGAGCTGCCCAGTGACACGAGCCTACCAGACAAGCTAAATTACTTCTATGCTCGCTTCGAGGCAAGTAACACTGAAACATGCATGAGAGCATCAGCTGTTCTGGACGACTGTGTGATCACACTCTCCATAGCCGATGTGAGTAAGACCTTTAAACAGGTCAACATTCACAAGGCCGGAAGGCCAGACGGATTACCAGGACGTGTACTCCGAGCATGCGCTGACCAACTGGCAAGTGTCTTCACTGACATTTTCAACCTCTCCCTGTCTGAGTCTGTAATACCAACATGTTTCAAGCAGACCACCATAGTCCCTGTGCCCAAGAACACTAAGGTAACCTGCCTAAATGGCTACCGACCCGTAGCAGTCACGTCTGTAGCCATGAAGTGCTTTGAAAGGCTGGTCATGGCTCACATCAACACAATTATCCCAGAAACCTTAGACCAACTCTAATTTGTATTTTTTTTGTGTGTTTTTTTGTGTATTCTTTCTTTCTTAAAACTGCATTGTTGGTTAAGAGCTTGTAAGTAACCTGTTGTATTCGGCGCATGTGACAAATACAATTTAATTTGATTAGATTTTCCTGGTCAGGTCATGTCGTCAGCAAAACCACTCAGCCTCAACTAGTGAACTGGAGGTTTATTTTACAGTACTAGAACATGTTGTGTACTATAGTCACTCACATACAGTTGAATAGAACGTTGTGTGTAGTATACCTACTCACATATCGCGCCAGCTGAGGAAACTCAAACTATCTCGGACAATTCTGGTTCGGTTCACATCCATCATCCTCACATCTTCTATCCCGTCTGGTTTGGGTCTGTGTCTGCCCACTGCACGCGCAAACTGCAGCGCATCGGAGAAGATCATCGTTTGTCACCTGCTATCCATCAAGAACCTGCACGCCTTCAGGACAAGGAAGAGTGCAGGTAAGATCATTGCCAACCCTGCCCGCCCTGGACACCCCATCTTTCAAAGACTCCCCTCTGGCAGACGGTTTAGGTCAGTCATGACCAAAACCGCCGCCCACCAGAACAGTTTCTTCCCCCATGCTGTGGCCCTCACTAACTGGCCATCGGGCTCAGAGTGATTAAGTGACGTTGCATTGGGCCGATTACTGCACTTTGTCATCCTTGACCTCAAAATACTAATCTGCACTATACTGCATTTGAACTATGCACACCTCTGCACAGCACGGTAAATGCACAGTATATATTCACCACGGCAGCATCCCTCCCTCTGCTTATATAGATATATCCCCTCTGTAAATGGTATATTCCCAATGTAATCAGCCTATACTGCAGAGTTTTAGGTTTACTGTTCCGATATTGTATATTCTGTATGATGTCTATGTGATCTTGTGTCTGTATTCAGTTTGGATATTGTCTATTGCTGGCTGCACCTTCTCACTAAGGCACATTCTGGGTATGTGTAAATGTACTTTGCGAATAAAGGTGATTCTGATTCTGATCCAGTGTGATAGAAAGTCGTGTGTACTACACCCAGACATACTGCGCAATAGAGGGAAAGAACAGGAGACATCCACTATGGTGAATAGACTGAAACCATCTTTAATAGCATGTTGATATACTGCAGAACAGAAGACAGGTAAAGAGGGATTCAAAGCCAACCGAGGGAGGTGATGGTTGAAACCTATGCCCAAATTCAACAAGTCTGTCCTCCTAAAACGTCCCCTTCCTCATTGTGTGACAACAGAACAACATAGGTGACAGAAAACCACCAGAAGATAAGAGTTCCACGCATCACCCGAATCGAAAGCAGTGCATTTTTAGCATCACATAGCCCTTTCACCTATATCCAAAGAAAAAGGTTAGTCATTTGAAATAACTTTCAGTAGCATTCAATTTCAATGCATCTTACAATAGCATTCAATCAATTCAATCAATTCCACTAAACCTAATTTTTGCTGCTTGAGACTCCATTTGTGGGAGACAGTCACATTTTTGCCCACAAAGACAATGATAGGCTTCTCACATTCTGATGCATTGTGGGTGAACGGACAGACAGAATAATGACATCTTTATCCCCCGTGCTGCACTCTGTCAACTTCAGTCATGCACAACAAACTTGACTTTGAAGGGAAAGCATGTATCACAGTATCAATAGGCCTCCTACACATACAAAACCAATGTCATGCCTGGTTGAAGAATCACATTCGCTCCACATGGTGAATTGACAACGACGAAAGGAACAGATGACCTTGTTCTTAGAGTGTGAAATGGATACAGACACAGCTCTCTGGTTTGCCATAGGCTGTTAAACCCTAAAGAGACATACAGAGTGCGTCCCAAATGGCACCCAATTCCCTTTATAGTGCACTAATTCTGACCAGGGCCTATAGGGTTCTGGTCAAACCTAGTGCCCTATGTAGGGAACAGGGCGCTATTTGGGACGCACCCACAGTGAAGTATTTGAAATATGTAACCCTGTTTTATACACCCTTCAGCAGTTAATATAACAGAGCCTTTTGGCGATTGAAACTGACACATTAAACAAAGAGATAAAAAGGGAGTGTGAGATATCCTCTTGGCTTGGCGAGCATGAGTCACGATGCTGAGGTGGGCATGGGGCAATCTCCACACACACACACACACACACACACACACACACACACACACACCACAGTCAACCTCTCAGCCCCCACAGCAGCGTGGTGCAATAGATTGTTTTTCCAGAGGCTCGCTCCTCACAGATGAAGTAGACTGAGATTGGAGATGAGACCGAGACTTCCACACAGCAGGTTGGTAATTATCTGAAATAACGGCAGGGCCGGATGAGAGGAGGCCAGGAGGGCCAGCCGAATACATATTCCACACCACCTGATGGAGCTCATGTTTTAAACATGGGCACATTCAGACCAGAGCAGTCGATGAACTATTTCAGATAAATTACATTTTGTTGATGAACTATTTCAGATAAATTACATTTTGTTGACCTTAGCATTTACGTGGATGGAGATAACTTGGTCGTCCTCTCCAACACTCCAACGTGATATTTAACAAACTAAGCCGAGCAAAAAGCGAAAGATTATTCTTGTCCCCTTCAATACAGATGAGCAAATAACAGACAAAATATTTGAATGCTATTATGGGAGTGATGTGAAAATTGGAGCACTAAGCTTTTAAAACATAGTTGTTGTTTTTTTTTTATTTTTTTTTTTTACAGTCCAATCAAAAGGTTATCTGGGATACACAGAAGAAGCAGCAATGAGAAAGTACAAGTTTCATGTTTATCCAGTGCATACGTTTAAGATAATGAGTGTGTTGCACTCCAAAATACACTGGGAAAACATTTAGGTTGGATTGTATTGGCAGACAGATCTGCAGACTGGCAAAGGGCGAATAGTGGGAAATACCAGTCTTATTGGCTATGATTAGGGCCTGGAGTTATTCCTCGTCCTGGTTATGCTCTCAGCATAACAGCACATGCATACAATAAATGTGCAATCTAAACCATTCCAGAACATTTACGTCAATAATTCCTGAGCTGAATATAACAATGACGACAGCAAATACAGGAGCTTATTTCCTGGGCTGTTATTGGCTTTTGGTTTGGCAGTAAGCCTTCTGATTGGTTGCCTTGCCTTCATATCCCATCATCCTTAGCTACAGTAACTGAACGGGGGATCTGTGGAGGGTGACAGTGGAAGTGTGTTTCCTGACAATAGAAAAGAAGGAAAAACAACACCACAGAGAGTGACAAATAACACACCTTTTCAGAGAGAGAGAGAGAGAGAGAGAGAGAGAGAGAGAGAGAGAGAGAGAGAGAGATAGAGAGAGGGGGAGACAGGGAGAGAGAGGGGGAGGCAGGGAGAGAGAGGGAGAGAGAGAGAGAGAGAGAGAAGGGGGAGAGGGGAAGAGAGAGGGGAGAGAGAGAAAGAGGGGGGTATACAGAGAGTCTCCCATCTCAATGAATAAATCAACCACATTGCAAACAAGGAGACAGGTTGCGCTGAAATATCACTAGCTGTAATTATTTTTCTATGTAGGCTACTCCTCAAGGTGAGAGTGGAGGAGACAGCTATTCTGAGTTCTTCTAGTTTTCTTCTAGTCGAGTACAAAGTAGTCCGTTCGGTGGAGATTTCCGTCATTTTGGCACATTGTTCAGTCATTGTCAATCAAATGCACACACACATAGTAGAGATGAGATTAGGATATGAATGGTAAAAGTGAACAAAAGTCGTTCTTAGATTAAGTTAAATCTTGGAGTGACTCTCCGAGACAGTCACATAGTCTGTGGAATACATCCGAATGTAGTTGGTTGGTGCTGGATTTTGTACTACGTCCTTCCTTGTTAACTACTAAAGATCCATCCAGAAAACTAAAGAAACCAATGATATTATCTAGATTTAAAGAGTTAAAACTGACAAAACTGTTATAGAAATGTGTTAAAACTACATAATATTTCAAAATACACATGGAATCAAGTAAAATTTGTCTTCTTTTTCACTTGGATTATTCTCGTGACGTTACTCCACATCATCATCTCTTTTTAAATCTTTACCTCGATTCATCTTTTGTCGTTATTTCCTTAAATATATGCATATAGATGTGTTTATCTTTTTTATAGCTCTGTCTCTGTATGTATAACATGTACATATGTTCTGTTAGTGATGTGGTCGGGGTGGGTAGGGCTGAGACTGGGAGTGAGGGGTGAGGTTGGGGTGAGGTCAGGTGGGTGAGGGGGGGGGGTCATTGGTTCATTGGTCTCTTATTTACAGCAGGCTTCGAGAGCCACTGGGGGTCCTCTGGAGGCTGAGGCGGGGGTCCGCAGGGGGGATGTACTGGTGGGGGTGGTTGTAGGGGGGAGGAGGAGGGGGCAAGGGGGGCTGGTGACCGTCCTTGCTCTCTGGCGACCTCACAGGAGTGGAGGCGGCCGATCGGACCACCTGGAGGTGGTGGGCATGGTGATGATGATGGGAGTGGGTGGGGGTGTGGCTGAGGAAGGCCTCCACGCGACCATGGCCACTGTTGTCCAGGACGATCACCTTGACAATCTGCTGGCACTGGATGAGCGTGTCGGGCCGAAGGTCGCCCATGCTGATTGGCTGGAGCTGCTGCAAGTGGTGGAGGGGAGTGCTGGCGGCCGACTGAAGCTGTGGCTGCTGGAAGAGCTCCCCCCGGTGGTTAAGAAGGGCTCCAACACTCTCGGGGGTCCGGGGCAAGCTCCCGCTGCTGCTGAGCTGGTACGTATGAAGCCTGTTGTGAATTGACACCTAGTTTAGAAAACAGCCAGAGACAGCATCAAATGTTATAAGACTGGCCTCCTTCTAGCGTTCCCTCAGCTCTCTTCTCTTTTTTTGGGTGACACCACATGACAACTGGCATGCGTGGGGTGGGGGGGTGGGGGGGGAGAGGGGGGGGGTTGGAGTGCGAGCGTGCACCCTCTGGTGCTGGGGAAACCAGTTCAGACTGGGTGCTGGAAGCATTGGTTTAGAGGTGGGAGAGGTGTGGAGAGGTTGGGGATAGAGGGGTGGTGCGAGGGTGTCGGTTGAGAGGAGAGGTGTGGGTCAGTTGCTTCTTTTAGGAGAGCCTGTTGGTTCTAAAGGAGTCACTGAGGGCACCCGTGTCTCCCTTTCAAACCACTGTGCAGCACTAAGGGTCACGGAACAATTGGGGTGAAGGAGAAAGGGAGGGGAGCTTTTGGACGTCCATTGAACATAGAAGGGGGGGGGGGGGTGATTAGAACTGGAGACGAAGGTGAAACCAATGGGGGGGGGGACATCCACAGACATCACAGGCAACACTCATCAGAATACATGCCTCTCATCATTTTACATCACATTTTAGCAGGCCTTGTCACTCGCCAAGCCTGCTCTGTTCAGCAGGCCTGGTCATACCTTCAAAGATTCAGGGGGGGTTTCACTTCCTACTTACGCATGACCTCCCATGAAGTTTTCTAAGAAACATCTTTATTTTTCTACCTGTGAAACTTTTTCAGTTAAAAACTAAAGCACTCTCACTGGGGTTTGTGTACATCCTACATAGTTTGGTGTTGGAGGGAGAATTACTTTGTTTTCGATTCCTATTTAGTCCTATGACTACAAACAGTATTCCCATGTTTTGAAAATGTCCTTAAAAGCTACAGTAGCGAGTATGTTCAAGGCTTCGATGACATAACACGTTTGTGCGTGTTTCGCAACAAAAATACGTCTTAATTCACAATAAACACAATAATTAAATTCAGTCTCAAAGCAAGCACTGCTTTGCTTGCAGGGTGAAAGGTCACTACTTGGCTAATCAGCTGTATGACTCCTCCCCAGCAGCACTCATGCAGCTTGGGGACCTTCCACAGTTCCCCTCATCTCCCTAAACATATTGGACTTGGAACGATGGAGACCTAGCGCACGGAAATGTCTAGTTGTCTACACACCCAGAATGAGCTGCGTTTCATTACAGAGCGCTTGTAGGTGGATTCTCGGTGGAGTCTGCTAATCAGCCGCTGAACAAATTTGCGGTGTAGCAGATAGGCTGGGAGAAGCTTGTATGCAAATTAGATGCAAATCAGCCTTATTATGTATGCAGACATGTGTCATTTCCACCAGGAAGTGCTTGTCATGGAGGAATATGTTCCATTTCGTTATGGAAATGATTAAACAGTTATGATAGGAGCGACTAACATAGGAAGGGACTTTGGGATGATAGGCTTTAGACCTGGGATCATCAACTAGATTCAGCCGCAGGTCGATTTTTTATAAAGCGGATGGTCAGGGGGCCGGAAGATAATTACAAATAATTTGTAGTCTGCAAATTGACTGCAAGAAGCCTAAACAAATATTATATTTGATTAGAACAGAATCATTTCAAACCTTGCTTACATTTGTATACAGTACGATCAGGTCTCTCTATTATGAGTGGGAATCAGGGCATAAAATGAACACCTGCCACAACCCAAATGCGGGTAGATTTAGGTAAGAATGTGTATTTCACCAGCCACGTTGGCGGGTGGTCAATTTGCAGGGCTCTACAGTGTGAGCATTACGTCCGCATTTGTGAATACAAATAGAGTCAAAAGTCAAGTATGAACATAATGTGCGAGTTGCGATTTCTAGCAGAAAAATGCTGAAGTAGCTGTTTTCAAAGTATTTCTGCTGTTTTGTTTCATAGCTGCTAATCGCACAAAGAAATAGGAATCCTACATCCCACCTCGCGCAGCAACAGCTTTGCACACTGTGAGTGAAGCGCTGATTGATTCATTTTTGGAGGCACATGCAAAAAAGTTGGTCTAATTGACTCAAGTCAGCAAAGTGAGACTGATTTTTTCATCTACTTGCCACAGTGGCTGGTGGATCAAAAAGTTAATTTTAGGCCCTGGTGGGAATACTTGGGAACAGATTTCCAAAATGAAAATAACTTGGAGCTGATTTCCTGGTGTCTGTTGTTCTGTTTGTCGTTTATGTCCAACAATTAAAATTTTTGCTCAGTAAACTTGGGAGGCCAAATAAAACCACCCACAGGCCACCAGTAGAGGAGCCCTGCTTTAGACTGTACTGTTAGATTGGTAATGGGACTGCGACAAGAACGACTATTGGCAGGTCCATATTGATTTTTCATGTGGGTTTCGGCTCCGTATTGCCCTTAAGCTTGATGGATGACATGGATTCCATTTCCATAGGGGCTTTGATGTACATTTATTCATAATGTAATAACCTAGATGTTTTATCTTTTATAATCCGTCCTTAACGAACAATGAGTCACGTGCTGCCTTTGATTTCTCTCCCTCCACCCTCCCTCCCTCCCTTTCTCTTTCACCTTCTCTATCCATCTCTTTCCCCGTCACACATATTCAGCTATACCCAGCACTGATGCGTTTCGACAGCTTACGTCCTCACGGGGGTTGACATTTCAGCGTGGGGAGGGGGTAAGAGACTGTAGGGGTAGAGCGAAGGGACATGTTCTCTAAGACCGACACGTACTCTAGCCACCTTGGCCTCGAGAGGTACTACTCACCTACACCTAGAATACACCTCCGTCATTAATAATACAACTCCAAATCTGCATTTAACCCAGTCCTTTTGTGAAGACATCACTGAGGGACACAGGTATAGCAGATATGTATAATGTACCTCAAAGATGATCAAAACCAATTGAATTCGATACCGAAGTGGGCCCGTTGAGTGTTAGAACAAATAAAGCCTTGTTTCAATGGAGACCTAGCGCACTCTTGTTAAACAGGCCCTGAATGTCACATTGACCGGGTGTGTTTGC